TCTTATTTTATACACATAAAACGCGGACTCGTGACTTTGCTAATATTTGACCATCTTTTAAAATTACATTTTGCACCCGTTGTGGATTTTGAAAATTTGTTGCGTGTTTTAAAATTGCATGGCATATACGACAGGTTTTTTTTTTATGGTAGCGGAAAAATAACAAAAACAATTGGCCGTAAAGCAAAATACTGGATTAGGAGTTTCACACGCTTGACTTTACTTTCACACCTTCCCCTTTTTTTTCTCGCTTCCAAACTTTACTTTCAAACTAGAAGTAGCAAAGGCAAAGAATATATGCTTGAAAGTGCATTATGGATGATGGTTGGGCAATCATCTCTCTGCTCAAGCATCAATCAGACGCCTAACACCAGGGCGAAGTCAGAATTTCGGTTCACGGGCACAATGTTAAAGGAAAAAAAAAAAAAAAAAATCAGAGAAAAAAAGAAAAAGAGAGAACTTTAAAGATGTAGAAGGGAAAAAAAAGAAAAAAAGAAAGAAAAATGACAGAATTTAGTAAGAAAAAAATTTGAGTTTAATTTAAGAAAGAAAATTTAACTTTTTAAAGGAATTTAAAGAGAAAATAATTAAAAATTAATAATTTTAGGAAACATTAAGTTAAAATTTTCATGTATTTATGAATAAATTCTTTTTTATCATATATATTTAATGGGCGGGACAAGGCCATTACTGAATACTTGTTAAATATATTAGATATGTGTCTCTAGTATTTTATATGTGATTAAATTATTTGATCAAATGTGTAGGGTAGTAGTATTTCCTTCATTTTCTTTAAAAATAATAATAATAATAATAATATAATAATAATAAATAAATAAATAAAGGAACGATGGTCAACACAGGGAGTGGTGCATCATTTATAGTGCTTGTCAGGATATAATTATTATATACGCTAAATTATTTTTATTTTATTCTTTTTCTTTCCGTTTACCTCTTCTACATTGGTGTTCGAAGCATCAGAAGGCCGCGTCAAGCTTGGGTACAACGCATTCTAATCGAGATTCAAGTCAATTTTTGGAAAAATGCTACGCCGCTAGTTGTGTGGGTCAGCTCTAGTTCAAGTCAAGTTTTGGGTGATTGTTGAAAAATTATTTTTAATAAAATCATACTTAGTGCGATTTAACACCACTAGCACCGAGGGGCTGCCCGACTAAGTGGTTAAGGACCACCATGATACTTAAGCCTAGCAAGCTAGTTGAAACTGAGGTGTTGACAACTATTTTGTTAGTCATCTCTCTAAAGTTTTTTTTTTTTAATATTATTTTTTATTCATTTTCTTACATTATATAAAAATTATTTTTTCTTTTTATTTTCTTATCTTATATATATAAATTACTTATTCCTTATTTTGTTGCACATGTATTCTGGTGAGTTACACCATAGCCCAAACATCTTCTGATTTATCTTGTTCAGGATCAAGTATTTTTTCTTTTTCTTTACTATGAAAGAACCATATCTAATATTTTGATCCAATGAAGATCAATTTTTTATTAAAAAAATCAATGATCGGGCCAAAAATATGATAAGCTCTCTCGTTTGCTCTTCTTCTCTCTCGTAATAATTTTAGATTTAGTGGCGACTGTTAAGGTTTCTAAAGTTTCTCTGAAACATTGAAGGTAGATCACTGTTCCTTGTCATCATCAATAAACTCAAATTTTTAAACCTAAATTAATTCACAAATTGAATTTTTCCTCTTTCGCATTCATTCAATTTAATTTTGGCTTTCCCAAAAAGTTAAAGAAAGAAAGAAAAAATCCAAATTGAAAGTATGTAATGCATCTTTTAAAAATTCAGAAAGGAAGGAAATAAATTCAAAATATGTCTACTTATTTTGTTTAATTTAATTAAAATAAAAAATAAACTTTTAAAATGAATCACTTTTTTAATTTAAAACTCTATTGTTACGTGCCCATTCCAATCATTTGCTTATTTGGTATGCAGGAATGGAATGGAATGACCATTCCAGTGGAATGAAAATCCATTTCAGGGAATGAAAATCCATTCCATTACTAAACCGAATGGCCATTCCATTCCATTTCCATTCCATTACTAAACCGAATGGCCATTCCATTCCATAGTAAGATTAAGTATTTTTGTAATATTCCCAATAAGCTCTTCATCGCATTCCAATAAGGTAAAAATATTTTGCAGAGACCAAAAATCTTTCACATTCCATTTTTCACGTTTTTCGAGCTTCTTTATTAGACGCGATCAAGGTTTTTCACCTTTCCTCTTTTATGAATATACCCAAAACTGCCATTGACAAAAAGTTACAGGACCTTCAACCATATATATATATATTATTAAAAATATAAATATATACATATTATTTAATGATATATATATATTATATTATTAAGATTGATATATCATTAAATAATATGTATATATTTATATTTTTAATATATATATATATATATATATATATATATATATTGTAGCCTTTACATCAGCTTTTTAGGTTAAATATTCAATCCATTTTTTGATAAAATTGTAGTGACAAAATATTAATTAGATTGATTTTATTGAAAAATAATGAAAAGGGTATTTTTGAGAAAAATCATTCCATTCCATATTTAATGATAGTCAACCAAATAATAAAATGGTAATATTCATTCTATTTTAAGTTGCATTCCATTTTATTCTTATACACCAAACGTAACCTATGAGTTTAATTCTCTATCTCTTCCTCAAAAGTTAATCAAGAAGGTGGTGGAAGGATTAGAAGGGGCTCAAGTGGAAGACCAGTTAGAGTGGGCTCGTTGTTTTTTAAGGATGTAGGCAGTGCTAAAGAAGCTTTAGGGCATAAGAGCGGGCTTGGGCTTCTTAAAATACATTTAAGTCTGTTGAAAAGTCGAAGTCTGTGGGTTTAGGCTTAGGCGGGGCTGGATTCCAAAATCCACGGCTGGTCCGTCATGCACCCAAAGTCTCATCCAACCAACGGAACGGAAAGGAAATTTCCAATAAGAAATCGAAAAACTTGCTTATATTTGGGGCCTTTGGGCCAAGAACGACTTGACTCAATATAGAAACTCTCCATATCATATGTTGAATCAGATTATGAAGTGGAAGACTAGTGTCGTAACGTGGTTGATGGGAACCATCTGTGAACCAGTTGTATTAGTGACAACCAAATATAGACGGAGAATAGAGAACATATCTATAATCTAGGCGGGTTGGGCATCCTTTATGGTATTATTTTTCTAATTTTTTATATTTAAATTTGAACTCATATTATATTTGAGATAATATTGATTTCCAATAGTTCATAATATATTAAAAACCATATTATTTTTCTGATTTTTTATATTTAAATTTGGACTCATATTATGTTTGGGATAATATTGATTTCCAATAATTCATAATATATTAAATTTTTTTGCCAAAACTCATATCACCAAATTGGTGATATTGTGTGTTTCAATATTGTTGCGAAGGAATTAAAACAAATTTTTAAATTTCTCAAAATAAAATTTTGTTATGATTGTTTTGGTATTAGTAAAAAATATAATGCCTAAAATGCCAAACAGACTCTAAAAACTAAGAGATTTTAATTTGGTCCAACCAATTGGGAATATCGAAAATGGCCGCTCTAAATAGTACTCTTTTAGGACTTTATTATTGTTTAAGAGTTTATGTATTTCAATTTTATTTATTTATTACTCCATTATTGATGCACTATTACTATATTACTTAACTTATGCACGGAGAGAGACTCTTCGTTTTTATCCAAACCCTGTTTACTGGATCCAACCCATTATCTCAATTCAAACTGCATGTGTTATTTTATTAGTGAATCTATTCAAAAAAAAATGAAAAAAAAAAAATGAAAGTAATGATAATAAATAAATAAATTGAATATCTGCAAGTGGGAAAATAAATGCAAATTATTAGCGAGAGTACAGACAATATGGAATTTCATCCCGAAGAGGGACTAGCTAGTTACATGCCCCAAGTGCCTATGCCCCAATGTTAGTTACATTTCAACAATGTGTTCACTTTGATTTTCGAAATATATATATATATGTAAGTATATAATATCAATGCTGTAAATAAATAAAGCTATTGATAAGATTTGCATTAATTTGCTAAATGAATAAGTTAGAACTCCAACAATCTATTGGTGTGGTAAACAAATTTATAAGCAAGTATTAATAAACACACTTGTTAGGCTCTTAAACATTTTCTTATTCACAAATAAGTATTAATAAGCGTAGAATAATAAATAGAATAATAAACATGATCTCTATCACATATTAAAATCGTAAATATATTTATGAATAAATACTAATAAACACACTTGTTAATTTCTTAAACATCTTCATATTCACTCAGAAGTATTAATAAACACGATAGTAAACATGATCCTCACATGTTTGGATTTAATTATATTTTCTGCTTATCATAAACATGAGGCCAATTATTGAATTGGCTTGAGCTAAAGTTTGAATCAAACCAGTAGAATCAAGTTTCGCTGGTCATACTAAAACCTCACTCAAAAGGTGATATTTAAACTCAATTCTGACTTCTTATACCTCTTGCACAAATTGAACCCACCAATAGCGTTTGATTGGTCGAACCATGCTCGAACAGCAACCAACTAAGTCCATCTCGATTGCAGCTTATGTTGTACCATAGAGAGGAGATTGAAACATTAAATTGATGTACACTTTACTGTAAGTCCAATTGGTTCATCACAACATATTTAGGTCCAGGTTGGTCCCACAAAACGGATGAGTTGTCAATTGCCTTCTCACCGGCTTCGCACGCATCACAGCCCACCTGCCATTTCTAATTACAACAGATCTCTTTTTTTAGGTAAATTAATAACAACAGATCATGCAAAAACAATAAAAATAAGAACAGATCACATGGTAACACTTTTAGTTAATCAGTCCAATCCCCCAATCATAATAAATTCTAGATTAATTAATAAAAAACACATCTATAATATATAGTGTGTGAATATGAAAAAGAAAAACTGAACCCACCACCACCAAACTGGCAGTTACATTCAAGCATAAGAAAGACAGCCCAACCTGTCGGCAGCCCCAGCTGATCCAGAGTGTGTGTGTTTTAGAGAGAGAAAGCTAGAGTGAGAGAGACTGTGCTGCCGCTGCTTGTTCTGGAGGAACTGAGTCAAGGTTAGTGTGAGGAAAAGAGATTCACAAGTGTGGACTATAGAGAGAGTGCGGGAAGTTTCAGTGTTCGGATTCAATGTTGGTCCAAGACCGTTCAACCCCAAAATCCCCAAAGACCCACAACAGAACACTCCCAACTCTACATCCAAATCGCTTCTCTGAGGCCAAAAGCCTCGATTTCTCAACATGGGTCGCTGAAAACCTCTACAAAATCGTCGCTATTCTCCTCCTAGTCTCCACAGTCGCAGCTCTTTTCTTCCTGCGAAACGTCGGCGATACTGCAGCTCTCCTCTGCTTCGAATCGCAGTCCAAACAGCTTGAAAGGATTGAATTTCCCCAAATTAAGTGGAATTCAATCGAACCCATTATCGATAAATCCTCCCCTTTTGCCAATTTTAGATCGGAGCGATGGATTGTGGTCTCTGTATCGAATTATCCCACCGATTCTCTTCGCAATCTCGCGAAGATCAGAGGTTGGCAAGTCCTTGCAATTGGAAGTTCTAAGACGCCCCAGGATTGGGACCTCAAAGGTACTATATTTCTGTCATTGGAACAACAAGCTAAATTAGGGTTCAGAGTTGTTGATTACTTGCCTTATGATTCATATGTTAGAAAAACTGTTGGGTATTTATTTGCAATCCAACATGGCGCGAAGAAGATCTTCGATGCCGATGATCGTGGTGATGTCATTGACAATGATATAGGAAAACACTTTGATGTAGAATTGATTGGTGAAGATGCTAGGCAAGAGGTTATATTGCAATATAGTCATGAGAATCCAAATCGGACTGTTGTGAATCCATATATACATTTTGGGCAAAGGTCAGTTTGGCCTAGGGGATTTCCATTGGAAAATGTGGGTCAAATCGAGCACGAAGAATTTTACACAGAAGTATTTGGTGGAAAGCAATTCATCCAACAGGGTATTTCAAATGGCCTTCCAGATGTTGATTCAGTTTTTTATTTTACGCGGAAATCAGGGTTGGAAGCGTTTGATATTAGGTTTGATGATCATGCCGCAAAAGTGGCATTCCCACAAGGTACAATGGTGCCTGTTAATTCTTTCAATACGATTTATCATTCATCAGCCTTTTGGGGTTTGATGCTTCCTGTTTCGATTAGTACAATGGCTTCAGATGTGTTGAGGGGTTATTGGGGACAGAGGCTTTTGTGGGAAATTGGTGGCTATGTTGTAGTCTATCCCCCAACTGTTCATCGTTATGATAGAATTGAAGCATACCCATTTTCAGAAGAGAAAGATCTTCACGTGAATGTGGGCCGTTTGATCAAGTTCTTGATTTCATGGAGATCGGGTAAGCATAGATTGTTTGAAAAGATTTTGGAATTGAGTTATGCCATGGCTGAGGAAGGGTTTTGGACTGAGAAAGATGTGAAATTTACTGCTGCTTGGCTTCAAGACTTGCTTGCTGTTGGATATCAACAGCCGAGGTTAATGTCACTTGAACTGGATCGACCACGGGCAAATATTGGTCACGGTGATAGGAAGGAGTTTATCCCTCGAAAATTGCCATCTGTTCATCTTGGGGTTGAGGAAATTGGTACTGTGAATTATGAGATTGGAAATTTGATTCGGTGGAGGAAGAATTTCGGGAATATTGTGCTTGTAATGTTCTGTAGTGGACCTGTTGAACGTACCGCTCTGGAATGGAGGTTGCTTTATGGCAGGATATTTAGGACTGTGGTCATTTTTTCAGAGCAGAAGAATGTGGATCTTGCTGTTGAAGAAGGTCAGTTGGACCAAATATACAAGTAAGTCATCATATCCTTTTCCCTTTCTAGTTTATTTTAATTTTATTATCAGATGATTGTGTTGACTATACATCTATTTTTTATTGTTCAGTTTCTTTGTTCTTTTGGGTAGCCAAGGCAACATGAGTTAGATGATATGAGATATTAGAATATGAGATGTTATTCCAAGATAGGGGTAGAGTCTCTAGTAATCTACTAATCACAATAGTGAGGCCATTGCTTAACTAACTACAAACTTTCCATGGGTTGATTCATGCAAACTTTGCTGATAAAACGAATTGGTGGTTTTGTTTTCTTCTTCTTCTTTTTTTCCTTTTTTTTTTTTTTCATAATTTAAACTAAGTGGTGATTAATTCATGGAATAATGAATTTGCGAATATATTGTCCAGTAGTGGTATGTAAGCTCCAGTAAAGAGAGAGAACAAATTGTAACCTCCTATGGTTAAAGTGGTGTGTGCAACTTGTGAGATGCTTTAAAACCTGTTTGAAGGTAAACTTGGAAGTTGCCATATGAATTATACATCTATGATTCCTGAAAACATCTGCAAGATGATGAGTACCAAATGGGTGGAAAAGGAGAGAGAGAATTTGATATTTGTAAAATAAAATGGAAATGACAATATTAATCTCAGTTAAATGTTTTAATCTACAGTATATATTTAAGGATCTAATGTTAAACTCATAATATTATCTATTTATTTCTCTTCCATCCAACCAAACAAATGAAGGGATGGACAATTTTCCTTCCCTATGGATGCCTCACCCATCCATCCTCCACTCCCTTTCGACCGTCATATTAAATGAAGCATTAACCCCAAGGGGTTAAAACCATTAATCAAGTATCCAATTTGACAAGGCTAAGCTAGACTTTCTACACCCAGAGGACCATTCACACAAGATGGTCGGGCTACCCCAAGGGATCAATCAACCACAACCGGGATTCGATTCTCCCCCTTGAGGCTAGAGCCTTATAGGTGCTTTCCCTGGATTGGCATGTGGCATTGGGGACCTGTCACGTCTGTGGAGAGGATGCCACTCTGGTAAAAAAAAAAAAAAAAGAAGGTACATTTTTAGATATTGGAGGAATAGGAATGGAATGGCTGAATCTGTATGAGAGGAAATTATTTAAGAAACGTTTAGTAATGAGACCAGACAAATGATTTTGTTCAAGTTTGTTTGATTAACAGTTGAAATGAGTATGTTCCGTAATTCAGGGGTAAAATTTTTCTAAGCGAAGATCAGGTGAGGCTTAGCACATAATTTCCATTGAATCTATTCACAGTACACTATTATGCCTAAATACTCTTGCCTTTCTTTTGGAGTTCGCATGACAGTTTTAGTCATCATGTACAACTACAAGTTTAGCATAAATAGCCATTTTCGATATTAGGGCCTATAATACAACAAGATGGATAGTTAGATGATGATGTAATAAATAGGATTGGAGCAAGGTGGACAAAATGGAGACAAGCTAGTGGCATTCTATGTGACAAATGAATGCTAAATAAATTAAAAGGAAAAAATTTTAAGATGGCTATTAGGCCAAGTATATTATATGGAGTAAAATGCTTGACATTAAATAAGAAACAAAAATATTCATGTATCTGAAATGAAAATGCTAAGATGGATGATAGGAGTGACTAGAAAATATATGATTAATAATTCACGTGTGAGGGGGAAACTAAGAGTGGCGCCTATTAGTGGCGAAATAAGATAAAGTAGACTTAGACAGTATGGTAATATACGACAAATCCCCATGGATGCACCGGTAAGAAGATGTAGATTTATTTGAATAGCAGGTATGAGACAAAGAAGCCGACCAAAACTTGTGGAAATGTGGAATGAAGTAATTAGAAATGCTTTTAAAATTTTAGACGTAATAGGAGATATGGCTTGTGATAGAAAATAATATAATAGAAAAATAGAATTCATGTGGTGATCCCATTCATATGCAATAAAGACAAAGATGACGATGATAATGATGATGTACAAGTGTAGCAGAAATCAAAGTCTCATGGCTTATGTGAATTGCTATCTACACTGCATACTTTATTAGGATGTTCAGGAATTGCGGAAGAGGCGTTTACTGCAAGCAATAGTCCTAGGTGTTTACTACAAGCAATGGTCCTTCAACCCCCTATAAATTTGGCATGCGCGGTATTGGACTCCCTTAAACAAAGTTAAACTCAAACATGCATCACTAAAGAGAGAAAAATGAAAACACAATATTCATAATTAGGTGGCCATTCAATATTGTGTCCGACTTTGGAGATACTTTTAGTCCAAAATCATGTTTGTTAATTGTGATTCAAGTGAGTTTTGGTGTTTGTTGGGGTAAGTTTATTAGGTAAGGCTCAATTTTTCTAAAAGAGAGATATATTTATTTTTGGTAGTGAGATGAGATGTGTGACCTTCAGATGCTATTCTAACAGTTCTGTAAGTTTTGGTCATCCTGTAGCATCCACAGTTAGCTGGGATTTGTTAAAATAGCTCTTTTTACATTTTCTCTCATCTTAATTTCTAATAATACTGTCAAATTTTATTACAGGCATCTACCAAAAATATTTAGCAGATTTTCCAGCGCAGATGGATTTTTGTTCCTCCTGGACAATACTATTCTTAATTACTGGAATGTGCTGCAAGCAGACAAGAACAAGCTCTGGATTACTGACAAGGTAAATATAATTTTAAAAGTTCTGATACCCCTACATTTCTCATTTATGCTGATTTTGTTCTTTTTGAAGTTTTGAAATTTATTATTTTCAGTCATGCATGAAGATTAGATATCGTATTTATGGTTTATAAAAGCCCTTGGCCCTTTAGATCTTTTACTTCTTTTTAAATTTCGGTAATATTAACGGCCATTTGAAAAAATATATATAGAGAGAGAGAGAGAGAGTTGTTTTATGATAAAAACAATAGAATATTGATGTTAATAACTGTAGAAAGTGGCAAAGAATGACTTATAATATATACTGTCCTAAGAATGCTGACATTTCCTGGCTTTGCTCCTTCATAAATTCATAGTGTTTTTTTGAATATATAAGCCAAACTGTTTATGTCGACAACCATTCTAACATCTCTCCCTCTCTCTCTGTGTGACAAACTCAATGGCACTTAGGTGTCTGATTCTTGGACTTCTGTTCCTATCGATGACAACTCCGAGTGGTTCACAAAACAAGCAGACATGGTAAAAAAAGTAGTTAGCTCGATGCCAGTTCACTTCCAAGTCAGTTACAAGGAATCTATGGCCAGTGACCATAGCCTTATGATATGCAGTTCTGAGGTATTCTACATTCCTAGGCGTTCTGTAGCAGATTTTATCGATCTTGTAAATCTAGTGGGCGATCTAGATATCCATTACAAGGTTGCAATACCCATGCTCTTTGCAGCAATGGACTCACCTCAGAATTTTGACCCGGTGTTTAATACAATGATTTATAAGAAAGAACAACCTTCTACTAATTCTTCAACCTTCTACTCCGCCGAAGTACCTGCAATTCACCCATGGAATGTTTCGAGCGAGCAAGACTTCATAAAGCTGATTAGAATAATGGCAGCAGGTGACCCTCTCCTCATGGAGTTAGTTTGAAGGCAAAAACAATTTGAAGCACTCGAAAGGACTCGCAAGAGAGGAAAAGCGTGTACCACTTTGTTCAATGTTAAACACATTTCTGCAATTTTTTTTTTTCTTTTTCTTTTTCTTTTTTTGTACTATTCTTTGGAAGGGGGAGGGTTTCTTTTTTAGATTTTTCCTGTATGATTGTTTACTGGTTGGGGGATTATCGCTCCCACAAAAACAGAATGGGGGAGGGGAAGACGAGAAAGAAACATTTGTGCTCATCTTGTAATTAGCGCACTTAGTTTCTGGATATGTAAGAAATTTTCAATGGCAGCCTAATTTGTACATTTAGTGACTCAGATTGATAAAGTGAGAAATTTAGAGCTTGTTTGGACATGTTTGTTTTCTAGTTTCTATTTTCTAGTTGTTGAATCTCAATTATTCCAGACCTGTAACAATTACTAGGCCTGCACTTCAATAAATCTTAAGGCTTTACACAAACCATGTGTGTGTATTTATAAAGTAGACATTACTCAAAGTTCCGAGACTGAAATTTTGAAATCATTTCAAGTGATTCAAAAGAGCTTTCTTCTTGGATCGCTCTTATAGTCCAGGAAGAAAATAGACACTTTTTAACCAGGTGGTAGATTACAGAATTTAGAGCTATAATTAACCGCTGCTTTGATTTGTCTTCTAGCTTCATGAACTCTTATAGTCCAGGAAGAAAATAGACACTTTTTAACCAGGTGGTAGATTACAGAATTTAGAGCTATAATTAACCGCTGCTTTGATTTGTCTTCTAGCTTCATGAACACATTTGTATTAGCTTTTGAAGTTTTTGATACGATGCAGTTTGACGATTATGATAAAATAATGACAACGACATTGAAGATGATAGTAATGAAATATGATGGAAGTGTTGTAACAATGACGGCAATTATTTGCTTCTTCAACTTTTAGGATTTAGTACCTGGCAACTTACAGCTCAACGGAGAAAGAAAAAGAAAGAGATCACTTGCAATGAGTACAATCCCCGAAAATGAATTAAATTACACTGGGGAACTGGTAAGCGAATTCACATTTCAAACCTCTCTTGAAGTTGCATCTAGCCATCCTCCAGAGAGGAGAGATCACTCAACTAAATCAACAAAGTCATTTGAACTCAAACATTGTAATAAGAATTGATTTACAGTTTTAACGATCGATCCCCTCAATCTTGTCTTCAACTTCTGAATACAATTGCTTCAATTTCTCAATGTTGTCCTGAGAAGTTTCCCAGTATCCACGTCCATTGGCCTCCAAGAATGTCTGCACCAACTTCCTAAAAGAATTCGGGTTCGTGCTCATCAATTTGTTCAACATCTCCTCATCTTGAATGAAAGTTGTATTAGCCTCCTCATATACCCAATTGTCAACCTGGCCAGAAGTTGCACTCCACCCAACTGTATTTGTTAGTCGCTTCTCAATTTCACGAACCCCCTCATACCCGGTAGACAACATTCCTTCGTACCACTTGGGGTTCAACAACTTGGTCCGTGCATCAAGTCGAACGGTCTCAGAAAGTGTCCGTACCTGAAATGTAAGAAATTTGATAATGTGAGCCGAAAAAGGGCATATTTTGGAATCATTCAGCAAGTTTGCAAATTTCTAGCTATAAAAAATCTAGCAGGTCAGAATGCTCACCTGAGCATTAGCTGTGGTGGTATCAGCAATGTATGCACTTGGCTTTTTCCCATCTTTCCTTAGGTTTTGCACTAGGTTGGTTGGGTCTGAATCAAAGTAGTGACTCACATCTGTAAGTGAGATTTCAGATGAGTCAAGGTTTTGGAAGGTAGCATCAGCGGTACTCAAAGCCATCTCGAAAACCTTTCGTTTCTCAGTCATGCCTGCACCAGGAGCGTCACTGTCAAATGCAAAGGACTTGCGGCTCAAATACATGTCTTGAAGTTGCTTCTCATCATTCCATGAGGAATTTTCAACTGCAAGGTTCACGTTAGAGGAGTAGGAGCCTGAGGCATTGGAGAAGATCCTGGTTGCAGCTTCTCTAACCCCAACACCAAGAGCTTGAGCTTGTTCTAGCGCATGTTTCCTCACATAGTTCTGATCTTCCGGCTCATCCAGTTCAGCTACCATCTTCACTGCCCGATCAAGGAGATTCATCTGTGAAAAGAGAGCAAAAATTTTCAGAAAAAAGGAGGACAATAAAGAAAGTATACAGAAAAGAACTAAAGATCAGAAGGAAATAATAATGTTTCTAAAACTAGATGCCATATTAGGTATCATTGAAACTGAAAATTCTTAACTGGCCTTTAAATCACAAAAACAACTAGTTGCAAACTCGCAATCTATTTTATCAAGAAGAGATTAACATTCTACATGTCAACAGCAATTAACATACTCTTGCAGCCTTTTTAAGACAAAAACATTTGGAGAGAACAAGAAAGGTGATACCTGGTTGATAAAGAGGTCTCTGAACACTCCGGAGCAGTTGACAACAACATCAACCCTAGGCCTTCCAAGTTCTTCTAGACTGACTATCTCCACCCGGTTTACTCGACCAAATGTATCTGCAACTGGCCTAACACCAATCATCCACATAACCTGTGCCAATGACTCCCCGTATGTCTTAATGTTATCTGTTCCCCACAAAACAAGTGCAACTGTCTCGGGATAATTTCCCCCATTATCAACCTTCTGTCTTTCAAGCAACCTATCCACCACAACCATTGCACTCTGCATTGCCGCTGCTGTGGGAATGGATTGTGGGTCTAGTGCGTGAATATTCTTCCCAGTTGGCAACACTTTCGGGTTTCTAATTGGATCCCCACCAGGACCTGGTTCCACATATTTCCCCTCTAAAGCTTGTTTCAGACTTCCCAACTCATTGTCAGCCACAACTAATTTCAAGCACTCTGCTAAGAACTGAAACAAAGTTCTGAGCTTCTCTCTGTCAGCCCTGTAGAATTTGGTGTTTGACAAGTACTGAACCCATGGTTCATTCAAACCAAAACCAAGGATAGAGCTCAGCTTGTCAGCTACATCAACAACTTGACCTTTCTTGTTGGTGGTTCTCTCCACAAAAGCAGAAACTGCTCCACGTGAGGCATCAGTTATTTGCCGAAGCAACTCAACATCTTTTAAGATGCCCTTGTCGTTTCCTCTGTAGATGTCCTCTATCTCTCTTCCAACGGACTGAGCTAGTATTCCAGGGAATGAGGAGATCCCATCTTCAGGACGGTCCAATGCAGCAATGTTAACAAGTGTTGCAACTGCTTCCATGCCTGATGGAGGCTCACCAATGATATGAAGCCCACAGGGTAGAAGTCTGGATTCAATCTCCATGATTTTGGCATATACCTTTCCAACCACAAGGTCACGCTCTTTGGCCGAGATTTCCTGACCTTCCTCAGGAAGATCCACATCCTTATCAAGATTGCACTGTTTAGCAGTACTGATGATACTGCTCACTATTTGTTGTCCCCGACCTGTATCTTTGAGAGATTGGTATGAAGAAATCAGCTCACTTAGCTGCTTGAGTCCCTTGTAAAGTCCAGCATTTTCTGCTGGAGGAGTCAGGTAGCTAATGGTATTTGCATAGCTGCGGCGCTTGGCTATTGTTGCTTCAGATGGGTTGTTAGCTGCATAGTAATAGACATTGGGAATATTCCCAATCAGACTATCGGGGTAACAAACATCACTCATGCCCACCTGCTTTCCAGGCATGAATTCAAGTGAACCATGAGTGCCAAAATGCAGAACGGCATCAGCTTTGAAAATTTTCTCGACAAAGGAATAGTAAGCCGCAAATCCATGATGTGGGCTAGCCGATTTGGAAAAAAGTAACCGCATCGGATCACCCTCATAGCCAAATGTGGGCTGAACCCCAATGAATACATTTCCAAACTGTTTCCCATAGACCAAGAGGTTCTCACCATCAGAATTCAAATTGCCAGGAGGCTTGCCCCAGTTTTCTTCAAGTGCGTTGGCATAAGGAGTAAGCTTCTGGTACTCTCTGACACCCATTTTATAAGCAATGTTGAGATTTGGGCTGCTGAATTGAGCCTCTTTATCATGAATTACCTCTTCAATTAAAGCTTCAGAAGTTTCTGGCAGGCCCTCAACATTGTAACCATCTCTCTGGAGTTCTTTTAGGACGGAAAAAATAGAGGAAAAGACATTCAAGTATGCTGCAGTTCCCACATTCCCTTTGTCTGGAGGAAAACTGAAAACGGTGATTGCTAACTTCTTTTCTGCCTGCAAATTTTATGATAACAGGTTTAACAAGAGTCAAATTTTGTTCCAACTCCATAACCAGCATTACACAAAACAGTGACAAAAGATTTTGATGATTTATTTCTACTACTTTTTCATGTGTTTTAGGCATAATGAACAACTCAACAAATAGGAAAAACAAATTCATCTACCATGAACATTAGAATTATTCTTTAGTGTGAAACTGGAAAAGGAAAAAAAACATGAGACCTCAAGATTCCTAGTATGATGTTACAAACATCACATCAGCAACCTCTCAGCTTAATGAAATATAGTAAGATATTGAGATAAAAGTAGACAATATGTTTTGTAAGTTCCAGTAGTCCCATCAAAACATTATATATTCTAAACTATGGAGTAAAGCATGGTACCTATGGTCAATATCAAATATAAATCCATATGCTGTTCTCCACTTCATTAAGAATCAGGTTGACGTTATTTAGATTGTCAAGACATTGACCATAGAGATCAGGCTCACGCTATTTGCATCAGTAAGCCATTGACCATGGATACTTTTATTTCTAATTTTCCCAGTTAACATCAAGAAAGGGATGAGAAAATCAAAAACTGAAGATTCGAAGTTCAAATTGTTGTTCATTAGTTTCAAGAAGTTAAATAAAATCATTGGTAATGCGATGTTCTTAAGCTAGTTGATAACCCAAAAGGAGATGATAGTCCAATTTTTTGGATCATTCTTATCATATTTCCTTCCAGAATGTAAACACATTTTGCAACAAAAATATCCTTAAATGTTTGGTAATGAGATAGCTTGCGGTGCCCTTGAGGGGAAAACTATGACATTGTTACAGCTGACTTGGTTTCTTAGTCTTACAATGTAAATAGATTTATAAACTCATACGAAGCATATAGCGGAGAGCCACGTACCTTTGATTTCTTTTTCAGTTCTCCCCATCTGATTGCCCTGGTGCAGAGTTGCTCCACCCTCTTGTGAAGAGCATGAGATTTCCCTGAAATCATGTCACATTGAACCCGTCCAAAGATCAGAACACATTGTCACGAAAAAGAATGTAAAGAGAAAGAACACTAGAAGAAAAGAGCATCAAAATATAGATTGCTATTTTCATATCTAATATACATAATGCAAATAAAAACATGAGTAATACTGACTCAATAAGATATAAACTAAAAGCAGAAATAGCTAAGATGAATGATTTACTTGCCTGTTTTAGGATCTCGGCCAGCAAACACGATGGGCTCCATGCCTCCATCCAGCTCAGGAAGAGCAACCTGCAAAGCAACCTGAATCGGATGCAACCCCAAAGTACTGTTCAACCACTCCTCTGTAGTCTGAAATACCAAAGGTAATGCAACAATGTAAGGCACATCAAGCTTCATCAATGCCTCAACAGCCCTTGGATGATCCTGCCTAGCAGGTCCTCCAACAAGCGCGAATCCCGTCAGTGAGACTACTGAATTCACAAACGGCTTCTTACTTATCGGATCAATGAAATACCTCTCCACGGGACCTGAGAAATCAAGGCCACCAGCAAAAATTGGTATCACCTTAGCCCCTCTTGCCTCCAATTCCATAATCACAGCCACATAGTGACTCTCATCCCCGGTAACAATATGACTCCTCTGTAAAACCAACCCAATTACCGGAGCATTCGGACTCTTGAGCTTCTCATTAGCATCCCTTCTAGTACCATACCAATTCAGATACTCCTTCACATCATCATACATACAAGGTGCCAAAGGGTGCCAAATCCCATTATCCAAGAACAGAACCGGATCCGAATAAGCAATTTTCGTCCCTTTCAGAGCCGACACATAAGAGCCAGAAATCATTTTCAAGAAGTTCACCAAATTATCTGGCGACCCACCAAGCCAGAACTGCAAACTGAGAATATAAAGCCTAGCGTCTTGAGCCTTATCGCTAGGCAAGTACTTCAAAACCTTAGGCAATGTCCTCACAAGCTTCAACATACTATCAGCAAAGCCTGCAGATTGCTTCTTCTTCTTGAATAGCTGAAAAAATGGGCTCTTAGATTGCCCCAATTGTGACATACTAAAAGAACCCAATTTGTTGAGTCTCATTACTTCAGGCATTGAAGGGAACACCAGAACTGCATCAAGTCTGTCCCTCTCTTTCTCTACTGCAGTCTTGATCTTTAAGGCAAGCTCTTCAACAAAAATCAACGACCCAATAAAGATATTCGCATCTTCGAGGTCTAGACAGAAAGTTTTGTATGTACTCTCATCTCTGAGCTCTTCAACCAAGTACCCAACAACTTCGAATGAAGCATACCTGGCATTGCTGTTCAGAGTTCGGACCGCGGCCGAGAGGGACGATTGGTATTGAGCTTCTAAGACTACATAGACGACTTTGACTCTTGGGAGGCCTGAATTTTCATCGGGGAGGATTCGACGAACCTCCTGTGAGGTCTGGGTGAACAGGCCATTGCCAATTGCAGCACATTTCAGTCTGAGGGATGATTTGGGGTTGCTCTGGTTGGTCTTTTTGGGAAGAAAAGAGTGAAGAAAGTAGTGCTTTTGAGAGATTGATGAGAGGTGGTCTACTTTGGTGGTGGGTAAAGTGAATGGCGAAGAAACCAAAGAAGCCATTGTCAAGCTCTATAATTCAAGAACACTCCCCTGTTTAAAAGAGATGGGAAGTGTATAGATAGATTGAGAGAGAGAGAGAGAGATGGGAAATTTCAGAAAACTATAAATGAATTGTTTGTACCTCTATGTGGCTGTGTGTGCGTGATGCTTGTGCTTCAGTGGTTTTTCTTCTTCTTTGTAGAAATGAAAGGGTTTCAGTTTATACTTGGGTGGAGGGCAGAGAGAGAAGGGTGTGTCTAAGAGCAGAAACAGTTGTTGTTTTCAGTTAGTGGTGTAAGCAAAGGACGCGTGGCAACAAGGGTATGCAAGAGGGCAAGGTATTATGAGGTTGAGTTTTAATTCAGGGATTTTAGAGAGAGAGAGAGTGGGAAATGAGGGTGTACTTTTCTATCTGTTGGGTGTCTCCATGATGTTGTTCCTTGGCTTCTCATTGGTTGCTTTGGATTTCCCAAGAAATACATGAGGAAGTGAAGTGGCCAGTGGGGAGTGTGGATGATGAGAGAGAATAGAGAATGTGAGAGATTTTTTTATCACTTTGTTGAAGCCCTTTTTGTTACGGAGTATTAATGATTCTGATTTTTGAGCTTGTGTCCCTCAGTGAAAAGGATTGATATAATTTTTTTTTTTTCTGTGACCTATATGGGTCCAGGTATCATAGTTCTACACCAAGTTTTATACCCACCCATGATAAAATGTCCCTTCTCTGAAAATACATAAACTTGGGACGTTCTAATGAATTTTGTACGAGCAAATGTTGTTTGATATGTGCCTGAATAGTGGGGGGTAATGTTTTGCTCATTAAAGGATGATATGAACAAACAGAACATTTTATGGTAGTTTTGGGAAGGAAAAAAAAATTTAGCAGTAACCCATTACTTCAAAAGACGGACCCTTTTCATGGTCAGTAAATTTTGCTTGAAAATGGTTTTTCATATGATTATGCACCAATTCAACATAGTTTTGCACTCTTTGATGCACTCAAGTCTGTTGAAACTTTTTCCAATAGCTCACACTTGCATACTGAGCTCCGTTGGACCTTGCACATGAATCATGAGTTAATAAAACAATTTGGTAACTTATATTGTAGACATTGGTAGTTCGAACATAAGAGAGGGAAGCAAATGAAAGACCATTTCGAGGTTTTGTTAAAAAATAAAAATAATAATAAAAAAATAACACACACACAAAACTAACACCACCAGCACCATTTCAAGGTGTAATGGCTCCCACGTCACTTCTCCAGGTGTGAGGTAGGTACATAGTAAGATGAACAAGGTTTACCTGGTTAACCTTATGACAACCCAACCTCATCACCCCCACTCAGATTTTTAGGGTACTAAAAAAGACAGATTGGATCCTAGACATTATTTCCAATACAATTTGCCAAATGCCAAATGCCTTGGCAGAAATTTCTGCCAAAACAGTGTTTCAGACTCACGTCTTAAGTGTCTGGACATAAAGTATGTTTTATAGCAGTAAGAAACGCAACCCTTTTTTTTGCCATGTTCAGTTCAGGAGTAACTGTATAACACACTTGCTTTCAAGATCCCCACCCATCTTCCGCCAAACAACATTTACAAAAGAGATAACGTCTTCGGTTTACAAACGTCACTCAATAAGATCTCATTTGCTTACAGGAATACATCATGTAAGAAATGAATCTGATTGTGGTCGCTATGCTCAAATCACAATTGTAAATTCCAGCTGTCAAAACTTTCACAATCCTCAGGATAACATTGAAAAAAAATCTTCCAACTGGTTTTCACTCACCAGCACACCAAATTTCTGCACAAAAACTGCATCGGTGGAATCGATTCCTACATTTTTCACATCTGCAGTAGAGATCTCATTGTACTGATTCAGGTTGTGTACAGTGCCATCTGCACAAGCACATATAAGAAACTTAGCAGGAAAAGATATAAAGGACAATGTCACTGATAGGGAACATGGCTTACCAAGTATCTCCATTTAAATACACAAAAAATGTTGTAGATGCAAACAGCAACATAAATTCATGGAATTACCAAATTCTCTCTGTGTGAATGGATTGATCAAGAAACAGGTTCAGAATCAGTCTTCTGTAAAATAAACTAATGGGCCCCACCAAATATGGTTTTAACTTTGCCTTTCAATAAGAAAAATAAAAGGGCCCAAATATGGTTTTAACTTTGCCTTTCAATAAGAAAAATAAAAGATTTCCCTTTTATTTTTCTATTTTTTTTCTTTTTCTTAGTTATTTGGTCAGTGGGTGGTTTTTAGATGGACTGAAATAAATTGGCAGGGCTCTGGTTTGGTTCTCAAGCTATAAGTTTGAGTTTGGCAGTTTGGTATCTGCAGCAGCAATAACAAGTGACACACAGCCAGCTCAAGCGTGACATTGACATGATTCATGAAGTGGACATTTTAATGTTACATAAAAACTTACAACAGTTCACTACATTGTATTTAAAATGATGACTCACAACACAAGTTGGTAGCACAATGAAGAGTGATCAAGTATGATAGAAATGATGTCAATAATTAAGTCTTGAAGAACCCGCATAAAACAAGATTTGGGGAAAAAGGATTTGTGAACGTACTAAATTCCATCTAGACCATGATTGCACTCATTTCAATTTCAAGAGGAAGTCCGACCGCCCCACAGTTCACTTCAATTTTACCAAGGGATATATATCATATAATATATATAAGTATATAATCATCTATCATGCATGATTACACCATCCTCAATCTCATGGGAGTTTCAAAGTACTTCCATGGCAATTTAATTATAAAAATTATAGCTAACAGGACCTTAACTAATTAATTTGAAACTATCTACCAAGCTTGATAAGGTTGAGCACACATAATAATTACTTGCTTGCAAAAACATTATTTCCAGTCTAAGCATAAAATAAATCATCAGTTCAAAAAGTTCATTTTTAAACTATAGAAAGAGTAGGAGGAGGCATCTTCGATCCAACTCTTTCTTCAAAAAGCCAAAGTTTCATGATTTGACAATTTTTGCGCAGCAGAATACATAGTGAGGTTCCAAGACACCACGTCATATATTGAATATGCATTCTAGTACCTTCCTCATGCTTGTACATGCACTCGAGTGTAAAGGCAACATTAACACCAGCAAGTTTAGCAAGCTGAAGATCATGCGAGCAAGTCCAACCAAGTTCGGCACCTTCCAGCCTAGTAGCTAAAACAACCCCCCAAACCCCCCCACCCCCCCGGCCGCGCGGGGGAACTTATGCCAATAGACTTCCTTGATCGAGTGAAGTTTTCCAATGTCGATATATTTTAGTAGCAAAGGAAATGCACAAAGACGTCAGGTTGGGTCGTCCTTCGTCTCATTCGGGTGTGTACCTTAAAAAAAGGATTTGAACTCTCCCCCCAGGGATCCTATACCTCAATATATACATCAGAAAGTGCTTCATACTTTTCTCTCATGGCCCCTTTTCCTTAAGGGGGCCTTACTCCGCTTAGAGAAGACTGGTCGCATATCCCACTGTCAGGTGAGGTCTCTCTAGCGAGACTCTATTGAAAACCCTTCTGCTCCGGGCTGCGCCTCCCAACCCCAACACACACACACACACACCAAAATAAATAAATAAATCATGACATCCATGCCTTACAATCTCATGAGCATGTCAGAACCCAAAACAATTGCTCACATTAGAGAAACGATGTGAGAGTGGCGCTACATAAGCGGTTTAGATGGTCTGTGAGGTGATTGGACCTACAGAGGGGCAAATAAGTCTAATATTATATTTTTATTAATTTTAAATTGAATGTAATATCAAGTTAGATCCTAATCCAGTTTCTTAATCAATCATACAAAGACATGCAATAAAATAAATAGAAAAAAGAGTGAGATGACTAGATATTTTTACGTGAAAAACCCTAAATAAAAAAAAAATATGGGGCTTAATCTGAGCAATCAATGTTCACTCCACTATGCTAATGAAGAAGCTACAACATGAACTCTGACTCAAATGTATAGTGGCCATGTATATTTTATTTCTGGCCGCAGTCAAGATAGCGGCCAATTTTATTTTACTTTTGCCGAACTCATTTACAAGAGAGAAAAAAAAAAAAAAAAAAAAAAAAAAAAAAAAGAAAGAAAGAAAGAAAGAAAGGAGAGGATATTGTTAACCACTTATCGTGTTTGGTTGATTAAGGAAGGAAAAGAAAAAAATGATAGTAATCATGTTTGGGGAAAGAAAGAAAAGGAAACTATTTTAATGAATTTAATACCATACCCCTTTCTATAGATTTGGTCTTTTATAAAAATAAGAGCAAATTAGGTATTAATAAAGTTTCATTAAAAATGTTAGTATTTCCTTCCATTTCCTCCCATTTTTGGCTAAAAGGGACAAACTGGTGATCTTGATGGCATCCGATTCAATCTATCAAGACTCAGGTTGTTAAATGAATTTTTGGAGGGAAATGTGGAATTTGATCATGCAATCTTGGTTCTTTTAAGCTTGACTCTTTCTGGATTCGTATCAGGGGTTTTACTAGTGGGGTATAATGGGATGTCTATGGAGATCAATAAATGAAAAAAAAAATATCAAATGAAATATCTACATAGATATGAACAATATATTGATAACCCTGGAAATCGAGAGAGAGAGAGAGAGAGGAAATCAAAACAAAAATGCCATTACCCCATATTAGTCCCACCTACACCACGGAATGAGGGGAGAGAGCTTAAGTGTAAGATTTTATCACTATGAAAAAATAAAAGAAAAAATAATCTTAATCGTACACATCAAATTCAAACATATTTACGACATCTTGATAACCCTGTCCATTATGTGGTACTCTCTCACCTATAAACACCATATTTTGAATTATTCACATAAACTGGCACTCAAATCCACATGCTCACGATAGCCTAAATGACATGGTCCACAATAATGTCCAGACAGAAAATAAAAATGTAGATCGCCCTGACAATTACATGTGTAATACAATTCAAACTATAATTTCTTTCACAAGCATTCTTCTATCTCAAAGAATTTGAATACAACTAGTATTAATATAAATAATTTACGTATTTACCTTCAGCAACTATAGCGTCATATGCAGGAGGTTGAGAAATCCAGTTTCCAACAGAATCTTTCATGTGTCTTCTATCAGACGCAAAGGAACGGAGGAAAATTGGAGCATGCACTACCCGGAAAAACCTGAGATAACAAAAGCAGTCTTTCAAAAATATCATATATCGCCGTAATAGGTTTGAGATATATCCCATCCACACCATGGGGATGAATGGACTTGTCAACAAATGTAAAGAGAAATATAGAAAAGAAAGAAAATCTCCCAAATATTTAAGTGTGCGAGTAGTAGTATTAAAAGTTTGATAATGCAATACAAGAGTTGCACTAGATGATTCCAGGATGCAACAATGCACGTTTTTTAGATGGCAATACCACACTATATAAGGTAAGTTGACTTCAGGTGAGCCATAAGTAACATGATAATTCTTCTGTTAAAGAACTATCACTACCTTACTGTAATCCCATGACCACTTGGGTTTATACATATTCCGTTTTCCTATTGGTCAAAATAAAGAGAAGAGGAGAGAAATCTTAGTATCTGCATTAGATCACAACTCTAGGGTATAATATAGGTTGTGTCTGACCTAGCCTCAGTCTCATGACCCTCCTATAAGGGTGCCGCTCTCCTACTCCTTTGAGAAAATCCTTCCCCAATCTTCGAATTACCTTTGCCAATTAGCGAATTAAATCTTGCAAAAACGTGTATTCTTGATGGTTTCTCTTTTCTTGAATGATAGGCAACCATGTGTCCCATTTATGTAAACTGCAAACTAGAGTGCACCTAATATTGAATAAAAATTGCTAGCAAGGTGCACAAACAGGATTGAAACTACAACATCAAGAAAAGGCTATCGCATACTTGGCATTTTGTTTAACACTTCATGTTGATCATCTTTGTTTCTGTTATCTACTAGAGATGTTTCATAATTACAACATTATCCTAGTATGATATTAAAAAATATACTAAAGTGTATTAAATGTACATATAAATTGTATAGACACTTGTTACTTTCATTTTATTTACTTTTTTTTCACCACATTTTATTTACTTAAAGATGTTTACTCTTATATAATTTCTTAAAGCGATCCTTTCTTGTATAAAAATTAAAAGAAGATTTCTTAAAAAAAAAAAAAAAAAAAAAAAACATATATTTCTTTCTTCTTATATTTGTTTGCAAATAAAATACAATATAACATTTAATATATTATAAAAAGAAGTACATTACTCACTATATCACAAGAATACGAAATGGCTGCTATGAAACTCAAACTCAATCCCTCATGCTTATGAGCTTAAGTTTTTATCATTGTACTAAGCAATGGACCCTTAAATATGCATAAATATTGATAGTATTATGTATATATTCATATATTATGTATCCCTTTCCAGTAGTGTATAAATGTAAAGGCGCTCTGGAGACGCTCCCACGTTTAATTTTGCTGCTCTCTTGCTCTTGCTCCAGCTCTTTTCTACTAAGGACCCAGTAAGTATATTCAATAATTCACCACTAAGGGATTAGCCATAGTGATATCTCTTCTTCCTTGCAAACAGAATATTGAGGGTTCAAGTCCCCAATGAGACAAATGAATACGTGTGCGCGACTTAATAATTCGACTTTATTATATAACTACACATAGAACTCTCTTCTTATGTTCTTGTTACTATATTATTATTTCAACGAACTAATGAAGTGTCCATTTACTATACAGGAAAGAGCGTCTCCGCATAAGGAGGTAGGCTGTGTCCATCAAACCCTCCCCAAACCCTGCAATGGCAGGAGCCTCATGCAGTGGGCTAGCCCTTTAGAACTAATGAAGTGTCCCTGTTAGGCATTTTATGTTTTATAAAGCAAAATTGTATTTAATAAAATGAAAGAAGAACATTAAAAATATGAATATTTATTGCCCATCTATTTGAGAATTTGATAAATTCGACACTTGTAACTTATTAATAAAGAGTCGTGTCCCGCCATGCCTGACTCTCAAGCACATATCCAAACCTGACATGCGTATCCTGGTCGATGTAACATATAGCAAAGCAATACTATTCTTCTTCCATGTGTGAAAATAGAATCCAAAACCATATTAGGTCTTCCAAATCAACAAGATAATCTTAAAAAGAGAACACACAAAAGGAAAGAAGTACAGCTGCCCAATTGTGGTAATCTTACCAACTGGGTTTACATATACATGAATAGTGTTTTCTCAAATAACTGCATCAACACACCCATCAAGAAAGTATAAGCTCTAAAATGAAAATCAGTAGTCCGCCATATCGTTCATTACCTCTGAAACTCAGAAAATAGCTCAAAAGATGGCCGGATAGTTTCTGATACATAGGTGGCTAGAGGAGATGGAAATGGAAGACTTGAATCTAAATCCCACACTAGATGAGAAGAGTTGACATCCTTTTTCCTCTGTAACATAAGTTGTGATTTCAAAATCTTTTAAGTTACAGATAGTTGCTTCCAAACAATCATTAAAGTAAAATACTCCTCACTTAATAATATAAATGTCATTTACCAGACTGTTCAAAAAATATTCCAGCAAAAGGATTCTGCACTCACCTGAATGCAGATGACATGATAGTCCCAGAGAATAACTCCATCAGCTCTGTGACTAGCCTTTTGATACCAAAGTGGAACCTGCATATTGTCATAATATTGAGTAGGTCTCAATCTTGGGCCAAACTATTAATATAATTATGCCTAAAGATTTCATGAAAGGGCATTAGGTGTTATCTGTCACGCAACAGAATTCATTCCTTATCGACAAAGCACGAGTGGTATCCTGAAGGATTCCTGTGCCGCAGGTGGGGGCTTCAAACCCCACATTTTTTGTTCTTCTAACAATGATTACATTATATACTTCAAATAGAGGAAAAAAAATGAAAAAAGAAAAAATCAAATCAGAATTCTCTTTGGATTTTGCAAAAGAAAATGACGTAGGGCTAGGCGTTGCTACAAATGTTATGTTCAACATTGGGGATGACAAACGAAGTAGAAACGGGGAGTTTGTTACGTATATGCATAACCAATTGATCAGAAAAATGTTGATCGCAATGAAATGTCAGACAGCTGAGTCATGCTCTGGGATGAGGATATGAGGCCTGAAATTTTAACTTCCAAATCTATAGACTTGAAAGTGGCCATATGTCTGCAGGAATGCACTAATTTAATAAATGCATTCATTTGTGCCCAAACATCTTTCTTTTTCACTTTTTGGAACGTGTTCGGTGCCCAGACATTTGTGTATTCATTCATGCAGAAATAATGTGAGCTCTTCAATACCCAACTGATAATGTGGTGGCTGCAGAATGTCAACGCATCATGAAACAAATAAAAATGAAGAAAGACATAACATAAAGTAGGTCCCAATTATAAAAATAGAGTAACAAGACAATCATCTCAATTGTGTCAAGCCCCATCGTGGTAAGCAGACAGGTAAAGGCATCAAGTAAATCAGTTATCAACAATTCTACATGCATAATGCCATTAGAAAAATGACGGAACTCTTTTCATATTCATAAACAGTCTCTGTAAATAATCTTGAATGTCAATCATGCAACCTTAGGAAACAAAAATACACCTTCTGTTGAGTGACTTCTATTGGTATATTATAACAAAAATAAATAAATAAATAAAAATAAATCCTCTAATTTTAGATCATGATATAGATCTCCGGAAATTACAGATTCCCACAAATAACAGCACATAAAGAATGAGTGGACCGGGTCAGGACTCAGGAGCCGACAGAGAGTTCCCCAGAGCTGCCTGATCCGGCCGCCAATCAGGGAATACCCAACCAAACTATGACTAATAAAATGAATGAGAGGCGGATGACAATTAAATACATTTCACATATCCTCCATAACCTGGTGGATAGGTTCACATAAACATTACAAGAAAAATTTAGAAAGTACATGCCTGCTTCTTCTCATTGGAAATGAAAACAACAAATAAATCAGATCCCTCTGCCTCTGCTACTCCATTTTCCTGTAGCTTTTTGCAAAGCAAGTATACATTTTCTTCACTACCCAAAAAAAAAAAATCATGGTTTAGCAAAAAAAAAAATTACAAATGAAGAATATTTGTACATATAAGCAACAATATTGGAGGAGATGGGGAAGGAAATCTTTACAGTTATGTGCTAGATAAGAATCCAGGTTGCCTTGCAATGTCCAGTAAAACTGATTAATAAATCATTCCATAAAATGAGACTCTATTCTTATCTTATTGTGGCATATCTATTCAGGCTAAAAATCCAAAAATTAACTCAAAATGAAAATCCTCTCTGAGGACAGGGCTGTTGCCCAAGCCTCTGATACATTTTTGGTAAAAGACAATACCAAAGACTAGAGGCTAATCATTCCAACATATTTTTTTTCTTTTTTCATTTAAAGCACATATAAATCTTCTAAAGCTATGTTACCTTGACTTGGGTATGTGTCTAAATGTTAGAGCTCCCTAACTCCCAAATATTGGGATATGTGGATTCAGATTAAAATGAGCCCAGAACTTTGATATGGGTACGTGCACACTTAAAAACATAAAATGTTACATAATAGTACAACGAATGGGGCTATTATTATTTTAAAATGTACTCAATAATGAAAATTAAATGAAATACGGTGAAAAGGAGAGAGAGAGATTCCATCTGTCTCGAAAATAAGTAACCCTTCTTTGCTATCACATTTGAGGTTTTCTTCTTCTTCCATCTTCATGATTAGAGGAACAAGTTGTCTTCGGGTATGTGCGCCGGACACATATCCAATATCCATACCCATGTCGTATCGTGTCGTGTCGATATGGGTTCGTTAAGGGGAATAGGAGATGTCAAGTAACATAGTTCTAAAGTTCTACTCACAAATGTAACAAAATATTATTCATATTCTCTCAATGTAAATAATACAACAACTTCTCAAAAGTTATATGAGGAATAGATATATCTCAATCTCTACTTATCATAAGTCCCACATCACAAAGGAATGCCAAAGGACATGAGGTAGTAATAAGTGAGGAAATTCCATGCATTTCCAGAAGAAAGAGAGAGTAACTCACTTATTTATGAGCAATTACAAATTGTGGATGGAGGATACAGGTTTCCATATGATTAGCCAAATAATCTATGGAGAAGTGCATCCTAAATTTCATTATCATCTAACATTTGCCAATTTACAAAGAATTGTTGGAAGCATAACTGACCTTCAAATTAACACCTCCTAAAGCCTGAACTCTCAAGTCTCAACAATATCTAATAAAACGTCAACTTCATTGAACTTCCTCCAAAACCCACAATCTCACCAAGTATCTAGACTAAAACTACAAAGAACCATCCGACAAGTTCTGGGAGACATTAGAAAAGGTAACCATTTCTAATGCATGTTCACATGTACGTACACACAAGACCTAAATATATTATTCCATAACAAATTAAGAAATATTTGTTCTCTAATGATAAATAATAATAATCAATCAATGCCCCAGTAGTTTTTCAGAATTGACCACTTAGGCCACACAATTACTGATAAAATTTACGTATAATCCAGGCAGTGTATTCAGTTTTCTTCACTCATTCAAACAAACATCAAAGGCAAAAGAACCCAATTACGCATTACCCTAATAGTAAGGGGTGGGGGGGAGAACTAAACAGAAAGATAATTGCAAGAGAGATATAGTAGTAGTCAGAGCAAGGACGACCCTGACAAGCATAGTCATGACAAAATTTGGGCAATTGAACAATGGCAATACATATATTGTTCTGACTAAAATTACACATAGTAATATGTGTGTGTTGAGTATGTATAGGAGCTTTAGAGAGAGAGAGTACCAGTAAAAAGGGGTGTGATGAAACTGGGAAATGTCCAAAGGAGGAGCGACTGATGAGGGTAATTCCAAATTCGAGGTAGTCATCTATATATTTGTTGCTTCTGAATTGCTCAGGCTAATGTCGTTTTTGCCGATGGAATGGGCTTTTACAGATTTACACAGATACATGCGGCAGAGGAACCCTTACCTCCCGCGGTGTTGTTTTTTGATTAAATATTATAACGACATCGTGCTATCCTTAAACATTACGAGTAACTTGCAATTAGAAAAAGCAATTCAGTGCTTTAAATGTTTGATAGTACTTTCTAAGACTTGGGGGACTCGGCTGCAACTGGAGCTGGGTTGGAGGTAGAATTTGAGTTCAGCCCCGAAAACCTTAACTGACCTCTGACCCTAGCAACCCAACTCAGTTGATTTTGTAATTCGATCCGACATAGAGAATCGGGTTAAATGGATGACCTCTGCATTAAATTTTTAATGTAATTTTGAATTAGTTTCCAATTAAATGACTCCTAAACATAGTTTTTTTTATAAAAAATTAATACAAATTTATACAATTTTTTTGAAAATCAATTCTTCAAATTTAACATACAACAAATTAAGATTTAAACGAAAAAAGTTGAACCAAGGGCTTTATGACCCAGTGATATTTCCTCTATCACCCAAAGTAGATAATGATGATTCGAGTCTCTAAATGAGCAGGTGGGTGTGTTGGCTTTTTAGGACAAAAAAAGATAAAAAATAAATAAAAAGTTGAAAAGAAAATGTGTTGTAATTTGAATTATACATATAAAATATTTAAATAAAAATAAGGCTCGGATTAATGACCGAGCCATAAATTTATTTCAGAAGGGCAATTATTAACAATAATATCGTAAGAAATTTTGAACTAAATTAATAAGGGTAAGTGCAGAAAACACCCTTAAAGTATACTTTTCGTAGCACTTTTACCTCCCATTTGAAAAAATGTGCATTTAAAACCCCTAATCTTTTGATATTGTGCAAAATTACCTCTGTCATAAATCTTACATAAATTAGTGATTTAACACCCATTTTACCCTTTTATCCTTCCCAAAATACCCATGCAATCATCTTCTTCACTCAATCATCCTCTGTCGTCCACTGATCCATCCGCTTAGAGAAAGGGCCTCTTTTTATATATAATAACCAGAAACAAAGAGGACAAACATGGCCTAATCCAAAAAAAAAAAATTTTAAAAAAAAAAATTTAATGTTTCGGTATCATCATGAATCACTTCTGGGATTGAATCATTTGGTAAAACATCATGGAAAGAATAATAATAATAAATAAATAAATAAAAACTAATTTGACAAATACGATTTGCTACATCATGGAAATCAATGGCACCAACTTTTGTCTGAATCAACAAAACTAGCCTGTGTGTTGTGGAAATGTAGTGGTCAGCATACTCAGAGCAACAGAGGTCTTTCATAAGGCTCTCAAGAAGCCAGAGTAGAGAAAGACCCAGAGCAATCGGCCTCAGAACACCGCCACAGAACAAATAAATAGATATACGAACAGGTCTTAAATGACCTTAATGGCCACCCTAAACTTGGCTAAGTTTAGTTTAATTCACTGAAACTTACATCTGTCATACATTAGCCATCCCTTTAGACTCCTTCCGAAGAATTTCTCTTACCGCAATGGATTTATGCTACTACAGGAACATCAAATCCCGAAAGTGTTGAGGATATTTTAATAAAAAATCATTAATTAGTATGGTATATTATACTTTAATACCCATTTTTTTAGTGTATGTTATTATATATTATTAATTGTGTCATTAATTTTCCCATTAGAAGTTACAACTCAAAACATTATATAAATTCATTCATGGATTATTTTTATATATTTTATAAAATTATTTAATAAGGGTAATTTGGTCAATTTAGATTTTAAATATGTCAGGAGGACTTAATTGCACAAAATTAAAATTTGAGGAGTGTTTTTTGCACTTAAGGGGTGTGATATGCACTATAAACATACTTTAGGGGTATTTTTTGCACTTGACCCTAATTAATAAATAGCAAAGCAAGGGCTTTTCTGAATTTGATTCGTTAAAATTTTGTTGTACTAGTGGAGGAGAAAAAATATGACTCTTTTATGAATTTTTAGAAACTTTTTGGATTAGTGAATTAGAAAAGGAGTGGTCTTTTTGAATTTTAGAATTTTTTCTTAAAGATTTTTGTGAATTTTTATAGATTTTAGTGGGGGCACAATTATAATTATTAAAAAAATTGTGTAGAAAATACAATTAAGTGAGAAGTCCATCCCAATGTGGCTCCACCACTAGCCTCAACTCAAGTCTTAATTTATGATGAATTATAATTTTTAAAATAATTAGAGTTAGACCTGAGTTGGGTTCTGATCGGCCTTCTGAATTGGCACCCCTACGCCCTAACCAAGCAGAGAAGAAAATGGTTATCCAATTTAAAGTTGATCTTGCTTTGATTAGAATTGGAGGGCTCTTTTGTTCTTGTTAGGTTTTCGTCTTTTTTTCTCATGAAAAACAAGCCCAACTTAAATTGTATGGGCTATGGACTGTGACGTAGACCTCAATTGTCAGGTCCATTAAATTCTCAAACTTTTTCTTTTTTTTTTTCTTTGAGAGCACATGTATTGGTACCACTCAACTCAGAAGTGCGATTTGAAAACGAGATTTCAAGGACCTACCTTCCAGATCCCTAACAACGCCGCTATGCCTAAATTCTTAGACTTTTATCGGTTGGTCAAGTGAAATCACAAATGGCTTTTAGTTAGCATTTCAAAAGTTTTTAATTGTGTAACAAGTTTTATTGTCAAAATTAGAAGAAAAAAAAAATGTGAGTGGTTGGATCAAATGGTGCCTACCACTGCAGTGATGATTCAACGGCTCTCATACACCGTTGCACCAATAATCGATAAAACTAATAATTTCTCCAACATTAGCTTGGCTTTATGATTAGTTGAGTTGTATTTTCTATTTTTGGATAATTTCACTAACACCCCTTTAGGTTTGGCCAAATATCACCCTCAAACATCTTTCGAAAATAACTATTATTCACATTACAAACGTTTGCTCCGTTTTTTACTCACACCCCAAAAATTAGTTGACAGATATGTCATACCACTTTTTACATCGACGAGCAGACCTCGACTTGGATAACGCCAAGCATGCCTTTCGTGTCGATTCAACTGATGTACCCAAAGCCATATTCCGAGGTGGGTTCGTCAAACTTCTATGACGTATTGGGCTCTAGCTCCGGCAATTGTTTCGTTGTCAATTACCAGACTATCACTTCGTTCCTATAGATAGATTGATCCGTTTCCCATCCAATGGATATGAGAGAGACGAGTAGGGGTAGGCGAGAAAATCAATGGGGGCAAATAGTCGTTTAGATTGTTGATATTTTAGATTAAAAAAATTAGAGATAAAATTGACTTTTCATACTTTTTTAACTGTGTTAATAACAGAAAAGTTATTTTAGACCTGAATGATAGTAATTTTCGAAAGATATTTCAGTGTGATATTTGGTCAAACCTCAACGAGTGTCAGTGAAATTAACCCTTATATTTTTAGTATCAAAATCAACTTGTCTTTGTGATGGGCTGAGTTGTATTTTCAATTTTTAGTATCAAAATCAGATTGTTTTTTTATGATTGACTGACTTTGTATATTCTCTTTTCAGTAAATGGAATAAGGTTAAGGATTCAAGATACGTGATATGTATGTGCGGTGGGTCTAGCCAATTCGTATAGAATTATCCTTCGCGTGGGTGACTTAGGGCCTGTTTGATTTTTTAATTCAGCGCTGAATGCAGAACACGGTAAGTGATTTTTAAAAATAAGTTTGTTTGATAAAATTTTAGTACACCGCTTAACATGGTAAGTACCGTTTAAAAGAGGTCAAAATTTTAAGCATGGGGAATGTTATTTATCTCACGTGTATAGCCTTTTGGTTACCATTTATGTTGATTCACTGTGGAAAATAATTATTTATATAACAGAATTTTATTCAATTTAACGTATTTTTTTTTAATATTTTTATACCCACACCATTTTTATACCCTACATAAATATTATTTAATTATTTAAATTATAGAATTCTATTCTCGGAGAAGAATTGTCTTTCACGTACTTTCTTTACACTCTTTTCAATAACTACCATGTAATCCAAAACTCATATATTTTAAATTTTACTTTCTTTAATCTTTTGCAACATTTTTTTTTATATATCTAAAACCTATATATTTTAAATTTTCATTAATTATTTATATAATAGAATTATTTTTATTTTTATTGGCAATCGTGGGCGTCGGACCTGCTTGCGCGCACCTCGACTGATCCCACGAGACCTTGAAAATATATAATAGAATTATGTTCATATATAAGAATTATTTTTCACTTTCCTTAATTTTTGTAACATATTTTTTATAACAACCCACTCCACCACATGGTACAATATTGTTCGCTTTGGGTCTGAGTCCACGCAGTTTTGCTCTTCAGCTTTACCCCAAAAGGCCTCATACCAATTGGAGTGACACACTTACATATAAGCACTTCACCTTTTCCTTTTCCTTTTCCCAAGGAATGTGGAATTGTGCACCCGTAACTCGCCAGTGTGGTAGCCTGTCAGTGTCTCGCACCTGCCCACGGCAGACCAGCCTACATGGTATTTACAATCCACCCCCTTCCACCACTATAGCCTACAACACACTTCCTGCTGGGTCAGACTCTAATACCATTTGTAACGACCCACTCCACCACATGGTATGATATTGTCTGCTTTGGGTTTGAGTCCGTACGGTTTTGCTCTTGCGCTTTACCCCAAAAAGCCTCATACCAATTGGAGTAACACACTTACATATAAACACTTCACCTTTCCCTTTTCCCAGGGAATGTGAAATTGTGCACCCATAGTGTAACGTCCCACTCCACCACATGGTATGATATTGTCCGTTTTGGGCCTGAGCCAGTATGGTTTTACTCTTGGGCTTTACCCAAAAGGCCTTCTACCAATTGGAGGTGACACACTTACATATAAGCACTTTACCTTTCCTCTACCCAGGCGATGTGGGACTATGCACCTGTAGCTCGCCAGTGTGGTAGCCTGACAGTGTCTCTCACACGGCACACCTGCTCACAAGATCATCACAATCCACCCCCTTTGGAGGCTCGACGTCCCCGTTGGCACACTTCCGGCTGGGTCAGGTTCTGATACCATTTGTAACGACCCACTCCACCACATGATATGATAGTGTGCCGACGAGGACGTCGGGCCTCCAAGGGGAGTGGATTGTGATGACCTTGTGGGTGGGTGTGCCGTGAGCGGATGCGAGAGACACTGTCAGGCTAACACACTGGCGAGTTACGGATGCACAGTCCCATATCGCCTGGGTAGAGGAAAGGTGAAGTGCTTATATGTAAGTGTGTCACCTCCAATTGGTATGAGACCTTTTGGGGTAAAGCTCAAGAGCAAAACCGTGCGGGCTTAGGCCCAAAGCGAACAATATCATATCATATGGTGGAGTGGGTCGTTACAAATGGTATCAGAGCCTGACACAGCCGGAAGTGTGTCGACGGGGACATCGGGCCTCCAAGGGGGGTGGATTGTGATGACCTTGTGGGCGGGTGTGCCGTGAGCGGATGCGAAACACATTGTCAGGCTACCACACTAGTGAACATCGCCTAGGTAGAGGAAAGGTGAAGTGCTTATATGTAAGTGTGTCACCTCCAATTGGTATGGGGCTTTTTGGGGTAAAGCCCAAGAGCAAAACCGTGCTGGCTCAGGCTCAAAGCGGACAATATCATACCATGTGGTGGAGTGGGTCGTTACACGTAACTCTCCAATGTGGTAGCCTGTCAGTGTCTTGCACCCGCCCACATGGTCATCACATTTTTTAATACCCTACGTAAATATTATGTAATTCAAAACACATATATTTTAAATTTTACTTTTTTTAATTTTTGTAACACCATACCTACATAAATATTATGTATTTCAGAACCCATAAATTTAAAATTTTCATCAATTATTTTCCTAAATAATAATTTTTTTTCAAGTATTTTTTTAATCTTTGTAACAACCTATTCAATACCCTACTTAAATATTATTCAATCAAAAACTCATCTATTTTAAATTTTACTTTATTTAATCTTTATAACACCCTTTTCAATACCATACATAAATATTATGTAATACAAAAATCACATATTTTAAATTTTCATATTTATTTATTTCATTGAGTGAATGTGGTTGTTTTATTAATATTTTTGTATTATAAATACAAAACAGTTATGAGTATCAGATATTAAGGGCAAAAATATAATATATACAACTTTAAGACTTCACCTTGTGTATATAACAAACAATCTTAATGAATTCAGCACTTAAAATTAAAATATAATCAAACAAGTTTTCAAATTAATATATTCGCTTAAAGTTTCAGCGCTTAAAATTCAGTACTTGAAATTTCCAGTGCTTAAATTTCAATTTTATCAAGCAGCACCTTATTCAATTATTTACCCAATTATTATTTTTTATTATGTTAAGAAATGCATCTCAATTAATGTGTAATTGATCAAGGGCTTGTGACTAAATGGTATCTCTTATATCTTCAAAAGTAGACAGTGAGGGTTCAACTCTTTAAAGAAGCAAAGTGGGTGGGTGAGTTTTTTGTCAATGAAAAAAAAAAAAAGTTTAATTGAAATAAACTTAAATAAATAAAAAAAGTTACACAATGTATGTGCCAATTACACAAGATAATCAAAATACAAACTAAGGGAGTTGATTTTGTAGTATACTTAAAATTTTAGTACTGCAACGGAAATTATGGAATTAGATGCTCTCAGCAGTTGTATTTGTTTGTGTACGATGTAGCAACTTTGCATTGTAAATACGACAACATTAATTGACAGTGATGTGTCAATCTTTTGATTTAATGTGTTTTTTAACGTTGAAATATGATACCTATATATCAGGAATGATGTGTATTCGAGATGAATATATTGTAGCAGTTTTGCGCGCACCAAAAGAGTACACAAGATATTGTGATCATTCGAGTTAACCACAATGAAGAAAAATAAAAAAAGAAACAAGAAGGAACATTTTTATATTTTCTCATAATTTACTTAAAACACTATATGTTGTGTTTAGTAAGAAAGAAATAAGATATGTGGAGATAAAATAAGAATAAATGAACGAATTTTCTTTATTTGGTAGACATATTATAAGGAAAAAAAACAAAAAAAAAAAAAGGAAGGAAGGACTCTACCATTCATGAAAATAAGATGTGTGGAGAGAAAATAAGAATAAATGAACGAACTTTCTTTGTTTGGTAGACATATTACAAGGAAAAAAAAAGAAAATAGGAAAGGACTCAACCATTCAGTTGTTTGCAATGCGATTTAAAGTGTGAATGGTCGTTCCATTTGAATGAAAATCTATTCCATAACTAAACATATGGAATGGCCATTCCATTCCCAACTATATTTTTTATTTTTTGCCCTGGGACCCACGAACAGTACTCTTTTTTTTTTTAACCCTTGGTTACTCTGCCATCGGGTAATCTTCCTTCGGGTAATGTTCAATTTCCCGAAAAACCCTCATATTCCAAGTCCAAAAACCATCATTACCACCTCCGCCTTTCACCACATCAACGTTGACTTCCACAACTACCACCGCCTTCCACCACTACCACCATATCGACTTTCACCACCGTCCACCACCACCGACGCTGCCACCACCATCGTTTTTTACCACCACTACCACCCCATCGTCATCGCCTTTCACCACCTTCATTACCTTCCACCACCACTACCGCTACTGCCTTTCACCATCACTACCACTTTTCATCGCCGCCGCCGTTGCCTCTTTTCACCATTGCCACCTCTTTTCACTGCTACCGTCTTCCACCACTACCACCACCGCTACAGCCTTCCACCATTGCCACCATCCACCACCGCCGCTGTCACTCCTTCCACCACCGCCACCTCCTTTTACCACCGCTATCGTTGCCTTCCACCACCACCATAGCGACCTCCATTAGCTTCCACCACCGTTAGCTACACCACTATCTTCTTCCATCATCGCACTATTGCCATTGCATTTCACCACCACCGTCGTTTTCCAACGCCACCACCTACACCACGACCACTTTCCATCTCCACCATCATAGTCACCACCATCCACCACCGCCACTGTCATCATTTATTTTTAAAAAAAATCATAAAAAAAATGTTATTTTTTTAATTTAATTTATTTGTGGAGAACTCAATTTGAAATTTATTTTATTCTAAATTTTAAATTGGTTCAACCAAACGCCAATTCCTACCTATTTCATATTCACAGTCAAACAATAGAATGATCATTTCCATTCTTATTCCATTTTCACTTACATTCCATTTCATTCTTACACACTAAACACAACATTAAAGAATATAGTAAATTATAAATTTATTATCTCCTCTTATATTAAACCAAATAAAAAGAATAAAATACACAGTTCCTACAAATGTCTCATCCAACCCTTTATTCTCTCTTTCCGTTTAATTTTTTTCTTTCCTGCCAGAGCATAAATTTGTTATTTTGCCAACTTAACGGAGGGAGAAGAATGAAGGAAAGAGAAAAATAAGGAAAAAAGAAGGGGTAAGGAAACGGAAAAAATCCCAAAATTTCCATGATAAAGCCAACATGGATCGTGATGCAATCAAATGATCTTTGCATCGTATAAACGATATCTCTCTTTCGACAACTCATCACACATACAAAATCACCCAATTCATCATCACACCCAATTATCTCTCTGTAAACAATCATTCTTCCCCCTTCATTTCTCTGTATCCTCAGAATTACAAAATTTTCACTCATCGATTCTCAAAAGCCTAAAAAGTAAGAGAGAGAAACCATTCACCAATTATTCACTTTATACAATAGTACCTCTCTCTGTGTCTATACATGTATACATATTTATATTGACAGCTCGGCAGACTGAATTCTCCATATCATTCTCTCTGGAGACACAGACTACACCTCGTCATCATCTTCAGGAAAGAGAAACAGAGATCTCCGAAGGTATGAGTCTTCTCTGGTCACCAAGTTTTGTTTCTCTGATCACTTTGAGGATTATCGAGAATTGTAGGATTTCTTTTTTAAATCATGTGCCAATCTATTGCTTTCAATTTGACTGTAATTTCAATTTTTTTTTGCGCTGATCTGAGTTTCGATGTAATTTTGTTACTTTTACACGATTAAATCGATTATTGATAATTTGTTTATTTCTCTAATGCGAGGAATTATCAGTTGTTTATTTTAAAATTGGGTGATTAATTCTTGTGAATCTTTGGATCTCTCTGCCTTCGCGTACATGTTTCGATTATGCTATTTTTGGAAGCTTAAGCAGTTGTTGAATTACTGTTCTGAAATGATTTGACCTGTAATGAATATGAGTGAGAGGATATTTTCATATTGAGCTATGTTTTGGAGCAAATAAGTGAAGTCACGAATGTTTTGCTTATGGTTTGTGAATGTTTTTGTAGTTTATTGATATTATAAAGTTGATTGCGTTAAGCAGTTTATGGATTTCTCTTGAATGAAATTAGCACCATGATTAGTTAAATTGGATTGGAATTTTGATTCAGTTGACAAATTTCTAGTGAGTCACTTATTTTATTGAATTGATCCATAGTCATATTTAGATTTCTGGTACTAAAATAGTGGAATGAAATAAGAGAAAAGGGGAGCATTAGCCGTGACATGATGGCTTTGAAGCTTAAAAGAGATTGCCAATTGAATGGCACTACTTGTCCATGCTTGGCCCTTTGCCTTATCCTTAAGAAGGATGCGTGTAGAAAGTGTGGGGAATACCGAATAGCAGAATAATATTATACAACAGGTACATGTAGTATTTTTTTTTTCCCTAAATCAGGTGCATGTAGTATTGAAAGTTGAGCAAATGCTAACTAGACATTCTTCTCCTAATTGACCATGGTGTTTACTTGAGGTTTTGGTATTTAGAGAATAGGCTAAGAAGAGTTATAAGTGGATAATTGGCATGATTTTGCCGACTGCCAAACTTTGTAGATATGGAGTATCAATGATATCCTAAGGCTACCAACGAGCCAGTGATCTAGCGGTATCAGGCCCTTAGTTCACAAGGAGAGGTCAGGGTTCAAGCCTCAGTGGAGGCATGTTTGTGTGAGTACCAACTAAAAAAAAAAAAATTGACATCCTAAGGTTGTGGCTCCTTTATGCATTATGTGGTGTATTTGGGAAAGGAGCATGGCGATCCTCTAAATTGGGTTGAGCGACCTATAGATGCACCTGTGAGGAGAGGAAGATTGATTTGCATAGAGGGCAAGAGACAAAGAGGCCGGCCAAAACTAACACGGAATGAAGTGATAAGAAATGATTTAAAAAAATTAAATATAGTAGACGATATGTCATATAATAACAAAGCCTGGAGAAAGAGAATCCATGTGAACGACTCCGTTTGTACGGGATAAAGGCAAGGATGATGATGATGATGCTGCTTCATAGAAAAGTTGCGTCATGCTATATGCCATGTGTACATGGTTTGTGCACCCTTTTGGCACCCTTTAGTGGATCTTTTACTTAAAACATAATAATAATAATAATAATAATAATAATAATAATAATAATAAAAGATAATTCATGGGTCGTCTTCACTTCCACATAAGAGCAGAGATTGACAAGGAAGAAAGACTTTTAAGTGTTCATTAAGAGGCACAGGGACTGTGCATTTTGAGGATCCTTACAAGATGGAAGTTTGTGATTATCACTGAGAATTCCAATTAAATTTTTTTTTTTTTTTTTTTTTTTTCACACGTGCACTAATGATGGTATTTTGTTATTTACAATCTGATATATTGCATTCAGATGGGAGGGATGAAATGGAAAACGATTATTAATTTTTGCACCTGTCTAAAGATTGTATTGCATGTATTATTAGTTGTTTTGGAGGAATGAAATGGAAGAACATAAATTTATGTTAAGGTATTGGTTGAAAGGGTTTGTCTTGCTCTTGCAAAAAGCAATGGTTGTCAAGTGTGAGAATGTAGTTTTGAATTCCAGGGTACCATTTTCTGTTAAACCAATGGCGAGGTATAAATGGTCCTTTTTTTTCAACACTCTGCACTGATGGGAGTCAAAGGACTAAGGCTGGTAAATGTCATTTGCTTCATTTTCTTTTCTTATTGGTGGAAAAATTAAGAAAAGGAAGATTAGAAGTTTTTGAATACTGCAAACTCCAATGCAAACTTCCATTTTTGATAGATACTAGTGCGACATCTCAACCAGATTCTAATGACATGCATTCACATATTTGTTCATTATCGTCTAGATATCCAGCCTTGCAGGCATGATTCTACCATGAATGATGGGTTCCAAGATATGTAGGTCACATGAGTACCTAGTACAGATTATGCAGATGCTAGATCTTAAGTTGTGATTGTTGTTTTCTTCATACACTTGCAATTATTGTTTACCTTTTGGTGAGAGGTGAGTATGTCATTGGTAAAGAAAGGTTGTATATGGAGAAGCAACAGTGAACCTGCTCAGATGCAACAACATGTATATGGCCGATCTTATTTATTTATTTATTGAAAAAAAAAGAAAAGAAGAAAGATTACAAAATTCCAAAGGAGAGGTTTGAGAAACTTCACTTTTAACAATTTTCTCTTCAGAAACACTTGAACTTCCTGCTTTAGCACCAAGTTGACAACTTAAAGAGTGATGTAACTTTGGTATTAATGTCATTAACAATTGGACTGACCACTTTTCCATAACGATTTTAGAACATTTTTCTTGTTTTTACTTAATTACCATGCCCTATTGTAGTTTTTTATTGTTTGCTCAATAATGAATCAGAGAATATTGATTGTTAGCTAATGTAGCTATAATATCTACTCATCGGTTGTTGACCATCCAATGCAAAAGGTTATGCCTTCGGCTGCATATAGAAAAGACAATTAGGGGCTTCTAATTCTTGATGGTTGTGGCGTGGTGGAGCTTGTTATCTTTGTGTAACATTGATATTGCATTTTAACTTCATGCCTTTTCCTTTTTCTATGTGCAGCTGCTACATGTAGAGATTAGGGACAGCAGAAAGTAGGAATTTGAATGGTTTTGTCCTCTTTGTTGAAAGAAACGGTAATAAGAAAGGATCCAATACGATGTCTAACTCTGTGAAAGCTTTGGAACCTGCATTTCAGGGAGCTGGTCAGAGAATGTATCCTTGATTCAGATCTGAATTTGATAACTGAATTAGTTTGGCAGATACTGTAGTTTTACATTACATCCTACGGAAAATGAAAAAGTTATCATAATTTTTATTTGTGTGTCTGTTTCTTTATTAAATGCTGAGCATGTTTTAATTGCACTATTCTCTTTTGGGTTTGAACTTAACACCTTCTAGAGGAACTGAAATTTGGAGAATTGAGAACTTTCAGCCAGTTCCCTTGCCAAAAACTGAAAATGGTAAATTCTATTCAGGCGATTCGTACATTGTGTTGCAGGTGCATATGCTCTTCAATCTTCCCTTTCACTTTGGGTTTAAGTTTGAATCTTGAACTTCTTCTTATGAAAATATTTTTGGATAAAACCAGATTTCTTTTGAAGGGATAGATTCTCTGCATTTATGCTTCTTCTTATATCTGTCATGTCTCTGCAGACAAGTCCTGGTAGGGGAGGTGCTTATGTGTTGGATATTCACTTCTGGCTTGGGAAAGATACAAGCCAGGTATGCTCTTATGCTTCTTTTCCTTCCATACTGAGAAATTGTACTTGCCTCAAACTTACATTCTCACTTGATATGGTGAGCTTATAATAAGGATGAGGCTGGAACCGCAGCTATCAAAACTGTTGAACTCGATGCAATCCTTGGTGGACGTGCAGTACAGCACAGAGAACTCCAAGGTCATGAGTCTGACAAATTTTTGTCATACTTTAAACCATGTATTATACCATTGGAGGGGGGTGTGGCATCTGGCTTCAAGAAACCCGAGGAGGAAAAGTTCGAGACGCGGTTGTACGTCTGCAAAGGGAAACGGGTTGTAAAATTGAAGCAGGTATGAGAGCCTGCAAACATGATCTTGATGAGCCCATTCTGACATTATTTTGATATAAATCTATTGTAGCTCAAGGGAATATAAATTGGTCTTCCTTGTTTGCCAGGTCATTTTTTCTCGGTCCTCGCTGAATCATGATGATGTATTTATCCTTGACACTAAAGAGAAAATTTTTCAATTCAATGGTGCAAACTCCAATATCCAGGAAAGGGCCAAGGCATTGGAAGTAATTCAGTTTTTAAAGGAAAAGTATCATGTGGGGATGTGTGATGTTGCAATTGTTGGTAAGGGCACATACATTTACAACTTGTGGTGACATTATCTTCTCTTCTTTAGTACTTCTTAAAATATTTATTTAGATGCATTGAACTAGGTTTGTTCATGCATATTCACTTTATCAGTCTTTAGTAAGTCTTTTATTTTGTGTATGTTGTCCCCTGTGATAGATGATGGGAAGCTACAAGCTGAGTCAGATTCTGGTGAATTCTGGGTTCTATTTGGTGGGTTTGCTCCAATTGGCAAAAAAGTTGCTAGTGAAGATGATATTATTGCGGAGAAGACTCCTGCTAAACTTTATAGGTATTCTTATCTTTTCCAATTTAGTTACCGTGCTCAAGTAAGGAGTTATATTATTAAGAATGTTTTTGATGTTTATTCCTTTCTAATGTTGTGGTCTCTAAGTGGATCAAAGGGAGAAATACTTCTCTATATTATGTTGCTTTCTTCACACATACATATCAGTTATTAAAATGAACTCTTATGTTAAATTGAGAATAGCGGAATTGATCACTCATACGCATACCTCTAGAATGGGAATGGGGCATGTACAACGAGTATACTTATTTAAAAAAAGGAATTTTGCAGAATATGAACTTAGTATGATTGAAAAAATCGCTTTGTAAGTTTTATGAGAACAGAGGATATCTAAATGACCAAAGGCTGTAGTCTAGTGGTATCTTGTAACGGGTGGGCGCTTGCCCATTTACCCAAAAGCTCAAGCTTGTTGGGTAGTGCTGCATATCCACTCATTTATACTCAATCACTCTCCCATCTGGATCCGATGTGGAACAAATATCCCCTTATAACATTCTCCCCCACCCGAACTCGCAACGCCTTGTGTTCGGGCCACCCTGCCTACCCGGGGTAGCTCACCCGGACGCCTTCCGGGCCGGGCGCTTGACGTTGCACCGGATCAAGGACTGGTCTGGCTCTGATACCAATTGTAACGGGTGGGAGCTTGCCGATCTACCCAAAAGCTCAAGCTGTTGGGTAGTGTTGCATACCCACCCATTTATACCCAATCACTTTCCTATCCGGATCCGATGTGGGACGAATATCCTTTTGTAACATATCTCCTCTACCTCCCAAAGGGGATGGTGAGGGTTCAAGTCCCCGTAGGAACAAATGGGTGCGCGGGAGTTTCTTGCGAATGAAAAAAAGAGGATATCTTGATGCTGCTAGTGGGATAATGCTAAAAGTAATGAATTAATTACAGTTGAAACTGACCTTTATTTCTTCAAAGGATCTGGATTACGATTATCGGAGGGAGAGAGTGACAGATTATGGCTCTGACAATTTGTTTTTGTTCAAGCATTATTGGTGTTTTGTGTTTGTGAGAGAGAGATTCAAGGATTATTAAAGTTTATTGAATGTCTTCAATAGGAATACTCTTCGTTTCTTATGTTTTAGAATTTAGATTGATAAAGTTTAATTCTTTTTTTTTTTTAATCCTTCACTCACTTGTTCTACAGACAAAAATGAATGTTGCTGTTACCTCTTTTTTTCTTCAATTAATACTCCAACTTCATCTGTTAATTATTTCGTTTGTTCCATTCTATCTCTAACTCTTCTATTTTTAAATTGGTTAGAATTGTTCATGAGTATACTAAATTTAGTTACTCATCAGTCATCATACACAGTCAGGATACTATTTCTGCTTAAACTGATTCCCATGTTTTCCAAGAAAGCCCTTGATTTTATCCTGCCACCGTGCTGTTCACAGTGATTGAATTCAAATATTTAAACCTGTTGCAAGGATCTGATTAAGTATGACCTGGAGGAATGAAAACTGATTTTGAATACCTCATAATCAGCATGCTTCTTGTTTTTAAGGTCAAAGCATTGTATAAAAGGCATCTGTAAATAATGATGCTTTATAATAGCAACACATTGTAAATCTCTAAGCATACTTGATTTGCCTATTACTCTTTGTAGGTCTTTTCTTTTGTATATAATTTACTTCTATTATACTTTTGTTCTCATTTTATGATGTGTGTAGGTATTAAGATATTCTCCATGTCCTTTGTCTATGTTCTACTATGATTGAATTTTTTGCTTTGGAGGAAACTTTGTCAACCAGAATACTGATGGTTGATGCTGATATCGTGTGCATGTATTAATCAACATATGGTGCTAATTTTTCATCGCCACTTTTCTGCAGCATCATTGATAGTCAAGTTAAGATTGTAGATGGTGAACTCTCCAAATCTATGTTGGAAAACAATAAATGCTACTTATTGGACTGTGGTGCTGAGATCTTTGTTTGGGTTGGCCGGGTAACACAAGTGGAGGACCGGAAAGCTGCCAGCCAAGCAGCTGAGGTAGAAACCTTAAGTATTTATATATTCATTTTCTTTATGCCACCTTGATCCTCATTCCAATATATTATCCTCAGGAATTCGTCACTAGCCAAAATAGGCCGAAATCAACACGTTTAACCCGACTTATTCAAGGTTACGAAACTCGTTCATTCAAGTCCAATTTTGATTCTTGGCCATCAGGGGCAGCACCTTCTGCTGCTGAGGAGGGAAGAGGAAAAGTAGCAGGTGGATTCCTTTCTTCATTTGTAAAACATACTGAAGTATTTTGCTGGGTGTCATCTATTTATTATGAATGTGTTTTTATTCTAATAGCTTTGCTGAAGCAACAAGGTGGTGCTGTCAAGGGAATGACCAAAGGTGCTCCTGTAAATGAAGAAATCCCACCTTTGCTTGAAGGAGGTGGTAAAATCGAGGTCTCTTAATATTTGCTTTGCATGGTTATTTACTTGGATTATTTGTTTTAAATGAATTGGATACCATGATATGTTTCAGAAAATTGAATATTGTTAGTTTTCCAGGTATGGTGCATTAATGGCAATGCCAAGACTCCAATGCCCAAAGAAGACATAGGTAAATTTTACGGTGGAGATTGCTATGTGGTTCTTTACACCTACCACTCTGGTGATAAGAAAGATGATTACTACTTGTGCTGTTGGATTGGAAAGGACAGCGTTGAGGTAATTTACATTGTCACTGGCTGATTTTGAAAAATGAAAATAAAGGATGCAATGACGCATTATTGTATACAGAAATGCTATAATACAAACGCACATGTCTTCAACCTTTGCCTTCTGATATCATTTTTTTATTTTTATCCTTCTTGTAGTTTTAATATAACATTACCAAATTCTATGCTTAAAGAAAGTGTTATTAAAAGGTGACATCATTTGTCTAAGATTAGATAGCGTATTACTTTTGTGAATACTCCTGTCTCAGTGCTCACTTTACAAGAGGCATTCTGTTTATCATTTAGTGTTTTGAAACTGAGGTCAAAATCTGTTTTTCTCGTTTCTATTCTTATAAGTTGTTTATTACTTCAATGTAAAGTTTCTCATAAGTTGTTTATTACTTCAATGTAAAGTTAAGTTGTGATTTGCGTATGGTTTAATCCATTGTCCTTGAGCCAAAAATAAATAAAAAATAGTAATCAATTTTCCTTAGAAAGAGAACCTAATTGTGGTTCCATGATCAATTTGCTGTCAATTTCTTTGATAGAAGTGTTCTTTTATTTGATAGTCAACTCAATTTAGTTCATGAAGCCTTATTATGAATTATTTGGAGTCAGCAATGTCAATCTTGTCTTTATCTAGGGATATAGTAAAATAATACGGCTTTGATCTTTCACTGTTTCAATTATGACCTTTTTCAGTACTCCTTGAGTTCTCCTGTGCTTGAATCACCTACCACCTGAACCACATAACTCTTTACAACTCTGGCGTAGTTCTAATATGGTCAAACCATCTCTACTTTCTCCATCTTCCATGCTCCATTTCTCTCTTTTTTTAACTATTGGGGAATTGGTAGTAATTTCTCTGTTTGTTCTTTTTAGTTCCTTACTTGTCAAGTATTTCATGATTACAATTTATCCTTATTATAATGTTTTTTGTTGTTCTCTTTGTTATTCATGCCTTTAGATTTTGCTTTTGAAAATAAGATCCTTAATTGCTCTATACTTCTGGAACATAAATATACTACCAATGATTGTAGACTTTTGCTCATAAGAACAACTTTAATTTTCTACTTCATTGTTGAACGATGAGTAAATTGGTACAAGTAATATCATTCTGTTAAGACTGTCATAGACATATAGTTTTGACTTTGACTTTAATTGAATTGATTAGTGGTTAAATTATGGGGGGTGGAATAATAACTGCATCATTTTTCAGATTGCTCCCTTCTTTCAAATGTATATTTTATTTGAATTTAATTCGTTCATCAGATCCCAATGCTCATGTGAAAGATGAAATTTCTAGTATTCTGCTTCTTTCTGTTGCTAGGTTTGTTTGTTGGGATTTAATTTTTTTAAATAACTAGTATAACCTGGTTATATTTTCGACTTCAGGAGGACCAAAAGATGGCTGCTCGGTTGGCTACTTCAATGTGCAACTCACTGAAGGGCAGACCTGTGCAGGTGTCGTAATGTTTCATAATCTTTTACATACAGGAACAACCTTAAGACTGGGATGTAATACGTGCCTCATGCAGGGTCACATATACCAAGGGAAAGAGCCACCACAGTTTGTTGCCATATTTCAGCCCATGGTTGTCCTAAAGGTACTGTTAACAGATATAATTATTACATTATGTACTTTTTCAAATATACTTGTTTCAAGAATCTTTAAGGGACTCTTCTTTTCTTTAACAAACCAATCTTGATCTTTTATTAGGGTGGAATGAGTGCTGGTTACAAAAATTATATCGCTGACAAAGGTTTGAATGATGAAACTTATACTGCTGATTGTGTTGCACTCATTCGGGTATCTGGAACTTCTTTGCATAACAATAAAGCTGTACAAGTTGATGCGGTATGTGCTCATTGATCTTTTTGTCTTTCGAGCTGCTTTAATTCTTTTATTTTTTTTGGCTACTGTTTTCAAAGAATTCTATCTGTGATCATATAATTCCTTTAATTTTTTAATATATGAGTTGATTAAGTTTCACTTTTTGATTATTTTCTCTGTACGTCGCTGTAGTTCATATTATTTGTTCTCTCTCCTTTAAAGAAATAATTGGTTGTTTTGCTGGCTGACAATGGTCAGTGGATATAATCTTTTACTTTCATACAACTCTGTACTTTCTAGAGAATTTAAGCATTATTTTTTTCTTGGCTAGTATGGAGTATGGACTTGTGAAATGTTTTAAATTTTCTTTAGTTTTCAACTTGAAGGGTTTGATTGAGCCGTTGAGACAATAATTTAAGCCTCTTAAAAAATTATCTTCTATAGCTGTTGAGACTAAGTATGACTGAGGTTATGGCCTTAAATAGAGTGGAATGGAACATGGAATTCATGTAGCCAACCCCAAATATTTGGGAAAAGGCTCGGTTGTTGTTGAGCTGTTGAGACTAAGTAACTTTCTTTGGCACTCTTGACAACAATTACTAACATTTTCTTTTTTGAATATTTCTGTTCAGGTGGCAACATCATTGAACTCTAATGAGTGTTTCCTTCTGCAATCTGGCACTTCATCATTCACTTGGCATGGAAACCAGAGTACTTTTGAGCAGCAGCAATTAGCTGCAAAAGTTGCAGAATTTTTGAAGGTATGATCTTTGCAAAACATTTTCTTCATGTCAGATCTTTTAGGGTTTGACTCTGGTTTAGTTTTGATATCTAAAAAGTGTAACTTGGCATGAGTCTTTACACGTCTAGAAGTATGACTTTGTACATCTTCAATTAATTTTATTTGAGTCCCGTTCTAAAACCATGTTACGTGTTTGTAATTTGTGTCTTAATATTGTTTCTTGTGTAAATTTGAAGCAGATATATAATGAAAAAAAAGTTTGATTTTAAATTTTGGGTGTTTCTTGTCTTATTTTAAAGGGCAATTTAGAACAACCGGGGTTAAAAAGAAATGGTTTAGTGTTCTTTCCTTCAATAAAGTTGCATCAGCAATATTTGAAACCTTACAAGAGTGTCATGTCCTGGTTGAGGTTAAGTGTGTAAATGTAATACAGCATTTTGAACACCAAAATAGCTGGCACATTTTGACATGGATATGCCATATTATCTATTTATTTGTGTTTCCATAGCAAATATACTTGTCTACATTTACACTTTTTTTAATTTTTTTAGGTAAAGTGCATAAAAACCACTGTTATATACAGAATGCGCAAAAACCCCCCTGGTGTTCAAAAAATCCCCGCAAATAAGTACATTTTGTCAATTTGAACCCTCAAGGCAAAATATATAAAAAAAAACACTGATTTATCTCTCTCTCTCTCTCTCTCTCTCTTGCCCCCAACAAAATCCGTCTCTTCTCAATCTCACACTCTATCTTCTCACCATCATAAGATCTTCCCAGTCTTGATCCTCTGTTCTATCAAAAACCCATTAACGTCTTGACCACCAACATCAACCTCATTGGATACCCTCCCATTTGAACTGCGTTTCCCTGAAATCTTGTCAAACAAATACATCAACAATCAAACCCAAATTACCTTTTTATATACCCGTGAGTCTCTTCCCATCTCCAATTATAAGCTTTCAAGCCTCATTATCCTTGTTCTTTTAGTCTTCAAACTCTAGTATCTCTAGCAATTGTAAGTACTTATTCTCAAAGCAATAAAAAATGTGAAAATGAGAAGCAGAGTAAATTGAGGCAATACATTGGTGCACCTGCCAGATTTCTAGGCAAGGCTAGAGACTTTTTAAGTCGAGAGCATGGTCAGTTTCGATTAGAAGGTAGGCTATGGCAATGTGATGGGCTGTCCAGCTCCATAAATGGTCAACTTATCCAACAATTTATTGAGAAAGAGAGATGATGATGATATCAGGGAGCTTTTCTGAAGGGTATCTATGATGAAGGTGGAGTTGGACAGCCATTGGCAACCAGGATGGCGACTGCTGGTGGTAGGTCCAAACGGCATAGGGAGGAGTTATAGTGTTGGGTTAGGAAAGATTGGAACAATTGATGAAGACAAGCCTTATGATTTTGGGGAAGAAGAAATTAGCATCTAATAATGATTTCTTGTTTCTAAGAAGCAGGAGCTACGCTGTTACAAAGAGGAATGTTAAATATTACAAAAATAAGATTTTGAGAGGAAAAGGTTGGCGAGAAAAGTCGAGAGGAATCCATCTGGCAGTATGGGGCCGTTGATGCCAAGAAAGGTTTTGTTTAACAGGTCTAATTTGCCTTTGGGTATAGCGCTGAGATGTTCACCATTGCAAGTTTAATGGCCTTGGGTATGCTTCTTCCTTTTTAAAACCTCCTCCTGCAGGGGATATTTCGGCACTGGAGGGTCTGTTTTCGGTGAGGAAAGAGAAATATGAGAGAGAGTTTATTAATGGTATTTTGGGGTTTTATGAAATTTTTGGTCAAAATTGACAGTCAACATATATTAAGGGGCAATTTGCACATATTTTCAAATGTTAGGGATTTATATGCACATACTAAACTGCAGGGGTATTTTTTGCACATTTTTTATATAACAGTTTTCTGTTGAATAATGAAAAGTATAATAACCTTAAAGTCAGTTTAATGTTTAAATTGCACTAACAACCATGTTACATGACTTTTATGTTTCCCCAAAGGTGTCTAAGTCAGTACGACATGAAAGGGGCTGGGTGAAGGGTATGAGTTTGACATGAATCCAGATCAAATATGTCGATTCTTCACATGTGATGTTGGAAGGACAGAATTGATGATAGAGAAAGGCTTCTTGCGTCCCACATGAGAGAGAGAGATAAAGACTTCTTTTTCTACAATATAATATAGTTAATTTAAATTCTATTGAAGTATATCCTTAAAAAATAGTGGTAGATAAGTTGAGATATTATATAAAATATAATTTAGCCAAATGTGCAAGACATGTACTTGTACCTGTATCCAACTTTCGAGTTTCGATGCATTTCATAGTGAGATTTTGTATTCTATGGTTTAGGATACATTGAGATCTAGCACATAGACACACACACACACTCGATACGTATACCTAGTCCATGTCATGTAGTAGTGCAAGTGTACTCTCTTCATTTTTCAAATGAATGGAAGTGGGCAAGTTTGTTTGTGTACAAAATCTGACTCTATTGAGATACATGTGAACCTGAGTCATGTTGACAAAGTACATACCTAATAGTTATTTTTCTTCATTTCACAATAAATGGTAGTTTTGGTTTGAATGGGAGGAGAGATGATGATGTTGGAGTGCTATAGGTTTCTTGAAAACATATAGAGTCTGCCTGTAATAACCTTGTTGGTAATGGAGTGCGTAAATAGGATTGGAGGGTGTCAATTCTATTTTTGGTTGTAAGATGTTAATGTGTGAAGCACCAATTACTCTATTGGAAGTACCAAATTTAGAAGGATTCTATCTGAGGGATGTTTGTGATATCTATTTGCACTACAGATAACATATGTAGGTTTCAGTTTTTTGGAGCACTATAGGTTTCTTGAGAACATATATAGAGTCTAGGCTTGCGTTTAGCCTTCTTGAATAGCTTATATAAATGAGTTGCTTTGACAAAATAGTACATAAAAGGAGTGTTCAACAAATATAGGTTTCAGTTTTTTGGAGCACTATAGTTTTTTTAAGAACATATATATAGGATTGCGTTTAGCTTTCTTGAATAGCGTATATAAATGAGATGCTTTGATAAAAGAGTATATAAAAAGGATCAGATGGTGTCAATTCTATTCTTATGTCTGGAAGATGTTAGTTTGTGAAACACCACTATGTATTGTGGCTTTCTATTTGGACGAAATAGCCTTGCCTTGCTTTCTCTCATTGTGATTATTGCAGTACTGTCTTAGATCCAGTCACTTTGTGCCAAATTAGAGTGGCATTACCATGAACTGCTTTAGTTCTAGCACATAAGTGCCTGCATCACAGATTGAGATGCTTGGACCACTCTAAATTGACATGAGAGACATTCTTGAGTATGTCTACCCAAAAGATGCATCCTACATTGTGTGAAATCTGTATCACCATTTTAGATTTGAGCACAAAATTAAGATACAATCATGAGGATGTAGTCGACTTTTGTGCTAGTTGCTCATCCAATTCTTTTGTCCAATTTTTTCACTTTCAGACCTAAACAAGGTGACAACTGTAGAGTGTTGTTGTCAGGTGAGGATATGAAGTGTCCTACATGATGGGGCTTTAATTTAGGCATAGTCATCGTGTTGATATGGATGTCATGGAATAAGGTGAAAAATAGGAGTTTTTTTTTTTTTTTTTTCTTTTTTCGCTGCCATATCATTTTTTGGCATTTGCTCTAATATCTGGAGGTATTTTTATCTAACGTATATGATTTTTCAGTATATGTGATTTAGAAAATATATTGTAACCATTTTGCTGTAATTAATTTAGCCATAGGAAATATTTGAATGTTTTGTTCTTAAAAAGTATAATTATGACCAGGTTGGCTCAACTTCTTGTTGCTAAAACATAACTTTAAATAAATTCAAGTAAACTTCACATAGTTCACTTGAATCTTAATCAAATTTATGTTTATACCTTTTTATTTGGAACTTATGATATTTTTAAATATAACTAATTGTGCATATGCCTATTTTGTTTATTCTGTGTTGCCAATATTGAGTTAGTTCTAGTTCTCCAGTTTTGGAATGTGATTGGAGATTTCAAATACTTTACTTGGTATTAACATGTCTTCTTGATTATTTTTTACTAGATAATGGACGTGTTTTATGGTAAAAAATCAATACTAAATGAATTATCAGAATATTCACCGATTGACAATATGCATAGTATTCATGTTTAATGAAGTCTTTGAGACTTGTAATTTGAAGTCTCTCTTTGCGCCACATTCATTTTAACTAGCCAATAAAAGTTTTATTTGTTTATAAATTCAGCCCGGAGTAGCCATGAAACATGCTAAAGAAGGAACTGAAAGTTCAGCCTTCTGGTTTGCACTTGGAGGGAAACAAGGTTACACCAGCAAGAAAGTAGCTCAGGAAATTGTTAGAGATCCCCATTTGTTCGCGTACTCATTCACTAAAGGTGGCATTTTGAAATTCGCTGCAATTATTTCTGCGTAATTTCCATTATTTTCCATTCACTATATTTGCATCAGAATTTTCTTTCACCTTGAAAATTGCATAGATTGATATCTAACTTTCCAGTTCTTAATATAACTGATTATCTGTTCTAACTACTCTTTTAATGATTATCTCTGTTTCCATGTGGATCCCCAGGAAAGTTTGAGGTGCGTTCTAGAATTCACATGTGAATTGAATTCCTTGCATATTTACTAGGTATTTATTAGCTTCTTTATTCATACATATTTTTTATTGTCAGGTTGAAGAAGTTTACAACTTTTCTCAGGATGACCTCTTGACTGAGGACATCTTGATACTTGATACACATACGGAAGTGTTTGTTTGGGTTGGTCAGTCTGTAGAACCAAATGAAAAGCAAAAAGCTTTTGAAATTGGCCAGGTACTTTTCTGCTTTATGTTTTTTTTTTCTTCTTTTCTCAGAAGTACTCATTCAGTTGTGTACATATATATTTATAGAAGTTCATTACAGAAATACATAGAGATGGCAGCATCTCTCGAGGGGTTGTCTTTATCTGTGCCGCTATACAAAGTCACAGAAGGAAATGAACCATGCTTCTTCACAACATATTTTTCATGGGATCCTGCAAAATCTACTGTATGTGTTGCAATGAAATTTTTTTTTTTTTTTTTGTCTTTGTCTTTGTCTTGTGTTAATGTTCTGAATAGTTTTGATAAATATGTATACATATATGTGTTTTTTTGAGATTCCAATAGAATTTACTCTTGCAATGAGCATACAAAGTTGGAAATGATGGGTAATGTAGATTGGAATTTATAATCACATTACACAGAAAGGAATATTTTTTTTAGTATATATCCGTAACTTCTGTTTTTATATTCTACCTAGGCTCCTGGAAACTCATTTCAGAAGAAGATTATGCTACTCTTTGGGGCTGGTCATGCTGTGGAGGTATAACACTTGATTTACTCGAACTACCAAAGTGCTTAGCGATTTACTCGAACTACCAAAGTGCTTAGCCTAGCTCCTTTCAAGTGTTTGCATGGGAACTTATTTTTTTCCTTTCCCTTTTTGTTTGGGGGTAGGGTGCTAATGTTCTTTCTTCAATGACAAATAACACCTAATATCTGAATCTTTTGAATCCATTGTTGCCAATAAAGGATTATGATAATTTCACAAGTAGTGATACATTGAACATCTTTTATTGAATCTATCAAGTGCATGTTACAGAGAGAGGGAGAGCCCTTTATTGAACAGTGAAATCTACAAATAAATTCTTTACCTCATTTTCCCCCCGTTTTTTTCTCTCTATTTTTGTTGCATTTTCAGTTTGTCCAACTCCAACTTCTCTTTTTAATTCCAGTAATGAGCCTTCATCCAATTTTTTACATTTTGAAGTGAACCTCACGTCAAATTTATGTTTTCAGATCTACCTACCTCCAAGGTTCCAATTGATTTGTTTTTTTTTTTTGAAAACCTCATCTTATCATATAAAGAATTTTTTTTTTTTTTGTTAGGAAAGCAACAAAGGGACACAGCACACTGCTTCATGAGGAGTTCGAACCACTCATTTCCCCTTTGTGAACAACCAGGAATTATTACGTTCCTTTTCTTAGACCTTATTATATCACAAACATTCATATGTGCCTTAATGAGTGCTGAGGGGAAATTCTCCCAAAACAGAAGTTGCAAAATTTATGTAACTGTTATCTGAAGCAGATATTTTTATAAGCGATACCCAATCTAATTCTAGTATTTACGTCCTAAAACATAGATTGAAAAAAAAAACCCTAAAGCAATCTTTTACCAGAATGGCATTGTGAATGATGTCTAGTTCTGTTTCATTTCCTGTCTAAAAATAAAAGGTTTTATATGATATAAAACATTGGGACATTCAAATTGAAAAAAAGCTCTTTACATTGGCATGTAATATTGCTTAACGATTTAAATAAATATGTCTTGGTAAAGTCATGTAACCTTAAGTGAGACCGTGGACACCAAAAGACAAAAAAATCACAAGGCAGAAAATAGAAGGGAGTTTCCTTGAAAAGAAAATACCCCTAAACATCTAAGGTAAACCATCTTAGCAATTTATAAGATATGCTGCATTTATGTCCTGTATTCGTGTTGGGTTCATTTGAACGCAACATTTCTTCTTCTTTTTCTTTTTTCTTTTTTCCCGGTTAGTTTTCCCCACCTAGTTGGCAAGATCTTGGTGACCAGAAAATTTGTATTGTCTAATTTGTTTGCTTCTTACCACTACCTGTAAGTCTGTATAATATCTCCTGTCACCTTGAAAGGGAAAGGGAGATATGACGTGCAGGGTTCATGTCCTGGTTAGGAGGTGGGTATTAAAAATAAAATTGATGGGTCACTTGGATCTCTGCAAATTTGATTTATAATTTTTAAGAATGGGAATTTTCTGTGGAGGAAGAATGTGATTTTCTATTTTTACCTCTGAACTACTATAGTGAGTTCTTTACTCTTTTTTTGGGCTTTTTTCAAATTTCTTTGCTCGAGTAGATTAGTCATTTACGTGTCACTTCTGTTTCAGGATTCACAAATAGTTTGGTTTAAAGTACTCATAGTTATTTTTTGTGTTCATGTGTTAGTTGGGACTGCTCTGCAGACAGAATGGCTTCTGTTTGTAGTGAACATAAAATAGTATTTATGGGATTTGTGTTGCAAATTGTACTTTAAAACCTTGTGAATTAAGCTCTTAATTTTTATGTTATATTATATGTTTATGGTTTTTCATCCTACGCATGCTACCTGAGAGAATTTCTGTCACAAAAAAGAGGAGGTGGTCACTGGTCATACGCTAGAAAACTCTCTTTTTCTGTGTCTTCTTTGTGTTTAACCTTCTCACTTTGACTGTGCTTGAAATACTGAGGATTAACTTTTTTGGCTGAGGAGGTTGTTTTTTGATTTTCTATGCTATTGCAGAACCAGGATAGGTCCAATGGGTCAAATCAGGGAGGGCCAACTCAAAGAGCTTCAGCTTTAGCTGCCTTATCCTCTGCATTTAATCCGTCTTCTGGGACCAAAAATTCTGCTTCTCCAAAGCTATCAGGCAGGGGTCAGGGATCACAGAGAGCAGCTGCAGTTGCTGCTTTATCATCAGTTCTTACTGCTGAAAAGAAGCAGTCGCCTGAAACCTCTCCTGTCCGTCCCACTAGAAGTTCACCAGCAGAAGCTAGCCCTCCTGGTATGAAACCAAAATTTTAATGTTTAAATGCATTAGATGTCATTATCTATTTAGGAAAGGGTAAATTACACTGGCCTAGTGGCCTCCCTGAGGTTAAGTAAAATTACAGAAGTTTCCCCTCTTATTTTAAAATTACACTGACCTCCCTGTTAGATTATTCCGTTGGATGGCATTAAGGTGCAGTGATTTTACTACTTTGCCCATTGATTATTATATTAATTGATGTAAAAGTGGACTTTATGTAAAAAGATGAGATTGCCCATCGTTTCCAACGGGAATATGCCAGATGAAATGAAATTGAGGCCTACTGTGGAGATAATTTGAAGTTTGAAGCTAGGGTCTGCATATCTTCCCCATCCCAAATCAACCATAAATCCCAATGCACAAACGAGGGGCTGCACACCTTGTTCTTTTGTCACGTTCTCCTCAAATTTTGAAAAATTCACATCATTTCTTGATCATATGAAAAGGAAGAGAGAGAGAGAGAGGGTTTGGTGAGAGAAAGTTAGGGTTAAAGAGAGGGCCAACCTTAGTGGTGAGGGCTGATGGTGGTGATGGGCTAGTAACAATGGCAGCACCCTGTTAGGACTTGCAACGATCATATTGGCTGGGGTTTGTTAATTGGTGGTATTTTGGGACATAATTTTAGAGGGTTGTTACTTGGTTCAGTGGTTAACGCTTGAATATCAGTGTTGTTGGTACGCGTTCAAGTCTTAGAGAAACTACTTAGTGAAATACTTAAGTTCAGGACCAGAACAAGATAACATCTCTCTTTTTTTCCTTTTTCTTTTTTAATTGTAAAGAGTTGTTGAGCATGGTGCAGAATGGAAGTACATTGGTTCCTTGGTGGTGTAATGAAGATAGTGGGACGGTCGGGGGGGCCTATGAATTCCCCAAACTAATTTGCAAAAGTAGATTCATTTGCAGTGTTCCAACTACTCCATTTGAGTTCCTCATTACCTCTGGTGATGGAATATTATATTCTTACACACACACACACACACCATGGGGGGTGGGTTTACATTCTGAGAGTGAGGATAGTGGCCTTCTTTTCAGGTGTTAATCACGTCATTTCTTGGTTTATACCTCCTGTAGTGTTGCCCTCAATGGAACCCTTCAATTCATGATTGTTATAAATTATTATATAGATGTATGCTCTAAATTTATTACATGAAAACACAAAGATATGCTATCCAAAATGATTTAGTTTTCTTCGTCTTGACAAGCTGGTGTCGGTGAAAATGGTTGACAACCTCTCATTGAGAATTAGGGGGGGCAGTCATCTACTTCAATAGAAGGCGAGGGGGAGGATGTGGAGAAGAGATGAGAGAGATGAATAGAGTGGGGGTCTGTGATTGAGAGGGGATGAGGAGGAGAAATGCTTATTATTGTCATTTCATACTACCTAATGAGGTTAATATTGTCATCGCTGGCCTTTTCGTCTTTGTTTTTGCTGACATTTGCTGATTCTGTTTGTTCTCTAACATTGACTGTTTACGGAGGAGGGAAAGTGTTGCAAGATACTAATTGCAAGGGAGGTTAGAGTATATTCCAAAGAACGGAAGTGCTTGTAATTTTGTCTAACCTCAAGGGATGGTGTAATTTACCCTTGGAAACCCAATTGTGTTTGATTGTTTGCAGCATCTTTTAATTCCTCTAGTTTGTTGCAGCATTTTTTGAATTTAAGTTTATTGGGGCCTTTCTTAAACCGAGTCTATTAAGAAATACTTGAAGACCTGGAATTTACTTTCTGGTCTTGAGAAACAAGTCATCTTTCACATTGTATACAATTTATTTTTTTAATAATTTAGTAAGAAAATATATCCAAAGGAAATTTATCGCTACCAAGGAAACATTGATGTATAGAACATGTGGGAATATCAGCCTTGTATCTTCTTGCTTTTCTTTGGCAAGTAATTGGTTTTATGATTGTAATGAGGATCTTGAAATTTGGATAATCTGACATTTTGGATACTGCTTGTAGCTGAAACCAAGAGTGAGAATGCCATTTCAGAGGCAGAGGATTCTAAAGAAGCATCTGAAGTTGAGGAGACAGAGGTAGTTGTGCCTGCATCAGAGAGCAATGGTGACGATTCAGAACTGAAGCGAGAGGCAGAGCAGGATGAGAACAGTAGTGAAAGTAGTCAAAGTACTTTTAGTTATGAACAGCTGAAGGCTCATTCTGACAACCCAGTTAATGGAATTGATTTTAAACGAAGAGAGGTTGGTCTTTTGTGATTGTTATTACATTCAAATGCTCTTATGTTTGGTTCTCTTTTTTTTATCTCATGATTTTCGGTCATCCATATGCAGGCTTATCTATCTGATGGGGAATTCCAGTCTGTACTGGGGATGACAAAAGAAGCATTCTATAAATTGCCAAAATGGAAGCAAGACATGCATAAGAAGAACACTGATCTCTTCTAAAAACCAAATTCCCAAATTTGAGTAATTTATATTCTTGTCATCTTAAGCTGTGATTCCTCATCCGTGTTGACCTCTTTACCTTAGAGCAACACGATTTTATAGATACTCCACGCCTGGATTGCAATATCACGAGTTTCGCTATATGCTCCATGAAGAACAGAGGTGTTATTAGTGTCGCTATTGATTATGTGATGCCTGCCTGAAGAGTGATTTTTTCTCCCTTTTTCCGCTGCTGTATTTGTTTGATCGCAGAGTGCAGACTGTAGTTTAGAAGACAGCAGATGAGTCAAATTCTTTGATTTGGTTGGTATGTTCCTCAATTTGTTTGGTCTCCGTTTTTATCTTTTAGCATTTATTTGTAAAAAAAAAGGAGGATGTATATGAATTAAATTTGAACATTAAGAAATGGAACATTATGGAGTGTAGACTTTGTTGGTTGCCATTGATTGCAATGTAAATTTATCTATATATGATTTACAATGATTTTGTCTTTTAAATAATTATTTCTCCCCTCCCTTTTCAGAAAGGAACCATAACTTCATCCAAACCATCACATGATATAATTTGAGATTGGAGAAAGATCAATAACCCCTCCCTACCAAAAATGATACCCCTTTTAAGGGGGAGTGGTGGAGCACACAGTTTCCCTTGTTTGGTTTTGGATACTAGGATCTTTGTGCACAAGGAAGATGTTGCAGAGATTTTACCTCCAAAAAAAAAAAAAAAAATGTTTCCGAGGTATTCGGTTCTTAAACAGTTATGGCAATGTGAATGGGGAAGGAGGAGAGTTGTTTGTTTTGTTTAATGCCCAAAAAAATAAGAATAATAAAAAAAAAAATATGCCGATTGGTTATACAACTGGGGAATGTCGCGTTGTTGCGCTCTCATTGGTTACTTGAAATTTCCTAGTCAAGTTAGTAGTTAAAGATTAAAACTATTGATTTCATTAGTCACGTTAGCAGTTAAAAAGATTAAAACTAGGGTAATTTTACTGATATTCACCCAAAAGTTACTTTTTAGTTATGTTAGATCACTTTTTGCATATAAAAAGACATTATTACCCTTTTAACTTTTTATTAACATATTAAAAAATTATTTAATATATAAAATAACTTAACTATCCCCACATAACCCATGTTAAGTGACCAAAATATCTATTACCACCAGTCACGCATATACACTCATCAACCACCATGATCACCACCCACCATAGCCACCGCCACCAATAGTCACACACACATGTACAGACAGTAAACACACCCACATATATCAACCACAGTTCCACAACACAATTAAAAACAATTAAACACAAATTTGATTGATTACAATTAAAAATAAATTGTAACCCAGTGAACGTATTTGGTTGCAACAATATTTTTTTTTAAACTAAGAAAGGCCCCTATCAGGAACTGAGGAATTGAACCAAATCAGATCAGTCTTACCAACGGCTTCCATTTCAATTTTAATTTATAAAAATCATTGAAAACAATTCCGATTCTATCAAGAATCGTATTGAACCTGACCGTATACACCCGTCATTCCTCCCTTATACACACACACACACACACAAAACAAACAACATATCATAAGTTTGAATTCTTCTAATTTTTTTTTGACAGTTGTTATTTAACATAAATACAGTGCTCCATGTCATTTAGTCACATAAAATGGCTTGAAAAGGTTTGAAGGAAATAGCCTCAACGCTTCTCATTTCCAACCACCCACCTCTCTTTTGACTCTCTACATCTGAACACACGGATTGATTTGTGTTTGAACACAGAAATGATTACCCAACCATCATCAACGGCAGACTTTCAAACACATACGGAATTTATTGCCTTTCCCAATTTAAAAAATGTAAAATAAAAATAATTAATTTTATTCACACTAATAAATTTTTTAATTTTTGACACGTGTTCGATACTTTATCGGTGGTTGAAAATCCAAAAAAAATTATTGCACTTATTGCACTGTGCAACATGCCCATCCAAACAATATGCATGTTTAAATGCACACGTAGAAAACCAATCTATAAATTTCTCATCTAAAAGTCAGAGCCGAAAGAGGGGGGGGGGGGGGGGACACTGCTTCCCTCATTGTTTGGTTTTGGATATTCATGTTCCTCGTCAAAAGCACCTACCACTCGAAGTGATGACTTGCTCTCCTCTCTTTCCTTTTCCTTTTTCCTGCCTTCTTTTCCTTTTCCCTTTGGCAAGTGTGCACATGACCACATAGTTTAAGAAGACGTATCATACATAAATACATACATATATTTAGCGGATCCAAAGAGGGACTTGGGTGGGCTTGAGTTTCGCAATTTTTTAATTTTATTTTAGCATAAATATATTTAGCCCAATGTTTTAAAAAAGAAAAAATTAGTAATAGTAGTCCTCAAATTTTAAGTCATCCAAACAAGCCTAATATCTAAACTACAATTTTAAAACAAAGGTTCAACCAAATAGGCCCAAGCCGAACAAGCCCTAAACAATCACTAAGACAGAATACAGAGAATTCCTAAATTCCTAATTTTGCACAAATCAAAGAACTCACTCATTCTCTTCCTCTAAAGTCTAACCTATTTCCTCTAAAAAATTTTAAATCTTTAATCTTTCGATCCCCAATTTTTTCTTATTTAATCTTAGCCCTTTCCCAGACATTAACAATTTTTGAATTCGCCCTTGATATATATATATATATATATATATACATTTATTGTGATACGTGTGTATACGAGTTATTAATAATATCCTCTTATGTACAGTTGGTAGGCTCATAAGCCACCCGTGAAGGTTTGTCCACTTGGGCTTGTGTCCCTTAATTCAAGACTTTGGTGGATGCTGAAAATGACCAAAGGCCCCGTGAAGTACAACCATATTAGAAAAGTCTCCCGAGCAATCAGAGAGTGCCACGTACACGAGTCTTGGGCGCTTATAAAGAAGCATTCATGAAAATATTATTTAGAAACTTTTGCAAGTAATAAACCGTAATTGGGCTGCTTTGAGTGTCTCATACTTCGTTCTAAATAAAATGAAAATTAAATGAAACTTTGTTGATTAGATTAGATTAGATTATTATTATGTTATGTACCACTCCATGAGGAATGAATTATGAAAATGAAGATTACAAGTTTGTGTTACGTAAGAATTTTGTCAGTTTGACTACAAGTTCAAGTTGGTAATGAAGTTACAATTCAATAATCCAAAAGCTAGTTCCCAATAATACGTTATATATATATATATATATATATATATGTATGTATGTATGTAAAAACAATGTTATTTACTGTTAGTCAATATTCCTATAAATATATATATATATATGTAGGTAAAAACAATGTCATTTAGTGTTAGTCAATATTCCTATATATATATATAAACAATGTTATTTAGTGTTGGTCAATATTCCATGCATACAAAAATACATAAAACTATAAACGAAAACACCTGTTTATACCTTTTATCTTTTTTTAAAAACTTTCTCTACCTTTTGTTTATGCCCATTTACACTAATCCACTTCTCCCCCTCTCCTTTCATTTTGACTTTTACTAGATTGAAAAAATATATCTAGACATGAATAACATATACGCTTTCTGTGTTATAGTTTTATTTTGTTATGTTATATATTATATATTATAAAAATAAATTTTTATAGAGTGATGTTAGAGCCGAATTGCATCACATGGTTAGGTTAGTAAATAATTATTTTATGTAAAAGCAGAATCTGTACGCACGCATGCTCCAAGTCGTCGGTCTTTATAAGAAGGAATGTGGGGCCTAAGTGCCTTCACAATACAAATTGGAATTTTTGTTTACTTCTCCCAGTAACAATTACTGAGTTTTTTATGTCTATATAAATTTATATATATATATATATATATATATATATATATATATATATATATCTTCACAATCTCTATGAAATTAGCCATCCGAAGCTACTTTTTGTTCACACATGGTTGGGAGTTTTGTACTCTTCCTAGCCCAATAAGAACTGACTTCCCAAATTTCTCCGAATCCACTGAATAGCCTTCGGAGGATGATGATCTTATTCTCTCTCTAGTAGTATAAATGTTCGCATACATATTCAATGGGTCCACCAATAAGATCCATGAGACTCATTTGATGACACGTGGCTCACATTATTGGTGTCGGTGGATTGGCTTTTTGCTTTGCCATGGTTGGATTTGAACAACATCACCATCACTTCACTTAAATTCAATGGGTGAGCATCCAAGGCAAACATTTTCACCCTTTTTTTTGTAAAGTTTATTTATATATCTAATAGTTTTACTGAAAATGTCACATCTTTTAATTTAATTGGTTAACCGGAGAAAAAAAGAAAAACAACACGGTGGTACTTAAACTCGAACGATTCCAAAGGAAATAAGAGCGCATGTAAGCAAATTTTTCCAAAACTTGCATATTTTGTTTCTTTTCTATTTTAGATTCATTACTGTTTTTATAAATTTTGTAGGACTATTATTAGGGAAAAAAAATTTCTCTCCAAATACTCTCTCACTAGACGATAGTGATTAAAATCAGACACCCATGTCATTATCAAGTCAGTGCCACATCAACGAGTCAAGAAAGAAATTACTTCTATTTTTATCATATATAGGAATACCACTCTATTCCTTATATATATACGGTATATTATTATATAATTTATCTTTCTTTTTTTTTTGACTAAAATTAAAACACAAAATAACCTCGCTTTAAATTTTAAAATAATTCAACAAAAATTAAAATATGTCTACAGAATATGCTACTCAAACAAAATTATAAGGAAAAAACAAATCATATAATTATGGATTATTAGGGTTAGTATTTAACTCAATTCTCAAAACTTCTCCAAATCAAAAATTTTGAATCATAATTGCGTAAGATACGGTCAAATTGAACAACTTTCAATCTTGCACTACAAACTAAATCTTACCCCTCTACCCTTAAATTGTAAAGAGAATGATTGATAAAAAAAATAAAAAGAAAAATAAAGGGTGGCTAAGGTTTTTTTTTTTTCACGATTCCGTGTTCTTCCCTTTTTTATTCCTTTTCCATCTCTCTCCTTATATTTACACGGAGATGTGCTAAGTAAATCAAGCAAAATTAGCAAATATAATATATATATATATATATATATATATATTTATTTATTTATTTATTTATTTATTCATTTCTCACTCTTTCTATATATATATATATGGATCATTTTCCTATAATTATTTCTCTTGAGAATGTTCAAATTTCAACCAAATGGGACCCATAAAGTAAAAGTTAATTCATTAAATACTACCTTCGTCCCAAAAAAAAGTGTCGTGTTTCGGGAACCGTGACAGTTTAATTTGTGAAAGTCACGATTTTCTAAAAATGACACTTTTTATAGGACGAAATGAGTAATAGATATGTTATATACGAAAGTTGTATATATATATATTAAAAGTTTAGTAAATATAAATTTAACTCAATCGCTAAAGCAGTTTTCGTAACTTTTCTATCATCGTCCCGTTAGCTTAAGTGTTCAATTATCTTTAACCTCACCTTAATTGACAGGAGTATTAATAACTGTATCATAACATACTGAACATTCTGATTGAAAATATTTAAAAATTCATATCATATTAGGAATTTCAAATTCTAAGGAAAAAAGATTCGAGTAGGAATTGACATTTTGAATTTGAGATTGAAATAAATTAAAATTCAAATTATCGATTTGATACCCTCAAACATAGTAATATAAGAGAGTTTTGTAATATTGTAAGATATAATAGAGAAATTACTCAGAAAGGTTTGATGATTTTAAAAAAAAAAATATTTCCAAAAAAATTCCACTAAACAAAAATAAGATCTTAAGACCTCCTATAAATAAATAAAATTCTAGTGAGTTAGTTCATTAAGAAGAAAGATTGACTTATATTTTTTAATAGTAACACTTTGTAATTTGTAGATCTCCAAACGTGCCATCAGTCTCCATGTCAATTATTTAAAGGGACAACCAATTTTACCCCATCAATTGATGATGATGATGATGATATATATATATATATATATATAGCGTTGCAAATATAGAATTAGTGTAATTGCTGATCAGGAACTAACTTAAGAGGCCCTCACACATCCATTCAATAATTGAGATGACAACCAATACCTCCTATCAATTTCAATTATTTATGTGATAACTAATCTATCATATTATTAATTTCAGTTGATACATATTTTTATATGGTACATAGCGTTACAAATATAGTGTCAGCATCATTGGTGGTCACAAACCCAAAATATCCTATAAATTGACAGAATGATATAATTAATTAAATAAGATAGGAAGGAAAGGAGAAAATCAAAAGAAAAGGAAAGGAATAGTTTATGAGGCATGTTTGGGTGGCCAAAGCCAAAAGTTATAAGCAGAAGCACGTTCTCTCTTCCTTTGTCTCCTTCCGAAGCAGAAAAAACGCAGCGCCATGGAAACATCCTCGCACATGCGCATGCACATGGTTTTAATTAATGCTCCGCGTAGTTGCCTCACAGTCCCCCCATGACTCTCTTTCTCCCTCTCTTAATTAAATTATTTATTAGTACTATACTGTATGTGTTATATTAAATATGATACGCATATTTCTCTCTCTCTCTCTACATACATATATGTGTATATTAAATACAGTATGATAGGCATATTTCTCTCTCTTGAAAGAAGCGCCAAATCAGCCTCAACTCTTAACTCTCTTCCAAGTGATAAATAATTAGAGGAGCTGTTGGAGCACTTATATTGACTACTTTTATACCCATACCACCATCATGAAAATGTCCGGATAGCGTCTCCCATTATTGAAATTGATCATGGTCGTTCAAATCAGAAATTAAATACCATACTATAAAAAATTTTACGTACTAGGAAAATGCAAATACTCAAATTTTGCATTTTTGAGTAGTGATTGAGTGTCACATTATTTAAATAACAATACCATGCAAATGTTGTATTATTGAAGTAAAAATGTTGCATGTGGCATGGAAAGTATTGAAGATCGAAGAGGATCCTCTATCCCTGATTTGACACCACACCACATCGTGGGTTGTCAACACGGAGACCATAAATATAGCCTACCTATAAATACTCATGAGAGGCCACAATTTGCTTCTTTCCTCATACCACCAAACAAAATATAAGGAATTTATTGAAACAAATTCAATTTTACAAATGTATATAGTACATTATGAACAGTAATTGTAGAATTAAAAAAGTTATAACTTTCTAATTGTAATTTCCTTTTTTACTTTATCTACTGACCATTCAACTAAACAGAAGAATTTAGATCTAATGGACAATATTATGATCTACTATATCAGTAATTTGATCTAGTCAAAAAGAAAAACCTGAGCTCAAGTTCAACCCAGTGAGTGACTCGTGTCCGGGATTCACGATGATATCAAATTTACATTCTTCAATATCAACCCATTGCCCACGAGTTTATTAAAGACTCCCGAGTCCGAAACCGAGTTCTTTCGCTTGTGTTGTTGAGTCGTGACTCGAACAATCTCCGTTAGCATTGCGTTCGATAATCGTCGAACCCCCCGAGTTCCGCCCACTATGATTGCCGGGTTAACCAGTTCTTGATTGTGGGACCGAGTCTTCACCGAGTTCTTTTTTCCATGGGTATTATAAGTAGTCTCGGACACTGTTGACAAACACACTGACTCGGGACTCCGATTCCTGACCCGGCCAAGTGGGTCACCGAGTACTAACATTTCTTTCACCTCCACCAGCATCACGTGCTTGAAATTTCTGCGAACTCGCCCCAGTAGCATTGGATAACAAGCCCATCTTCTCAAACTCAGTGGCACATGGTCTAGAAACCCAGCCAGCGAGTTCTCCGGGTCGAGCTCGTCGAACTCAAAACCCACCACCGAGCCATAACTCAACTGAGCCAACTCAGTCTCACTTTCTTCGCTGAAATTGCTTCGATTTCTTCGACCCCATATTGGTTCTCCCGCTTCTTTCTCCCTTTTGCTCGATTTCACGAACTGGGTTACATCAAAACTCGCCCCCAAGTCCACACCGGTAAAATTTGATTCCTCATACCGAGTCATGACATTCAAGAATGATTCGTTCTCTTCACGAATGGCTTCTATGTCAGATGAATTGGGTTTTGAGTGGTATATGAAAACAAGGTCTGATCTGGAAGTGAGTCCAGATCTATGTAAGGCTCTGAAAAACATTCGAAGTTCGTGTGGTGGGAGTGACTCAGTAATATGAGCTACAATGAGGTCATTCATGGCCTTTGTGCCTCTTCTGTACAGAGTACCCAATCCTTGCAAGGCATGTACTGATGATGGCAGTGAAGTTTTTACTTGGGAATTGCGATTGAAGATGCGAATTGATGAAGAGAGGTGTCTTCGAGAAGTGGAGTGAGAGGAGATGGAGGTGGAGGGTTCGAAGGTGGAGAGAGTGAAGATGAGGAGAGAGAGGAAGATGAGGAGGGCACAGATGGAGATTGTGGATTGGGCTCGGGAGAAAATGAGGGTTGAGGTGGAGCGTCTGAGAGTGGTGATGGGTTTGAAGGAAGAAGAAGAAGAAGAAGAAGATGAAGATGGTAATGTAGAAGAAGAGAAGGGGTCGGTTTTCTTGTCGATAATGGCATCGTCGTCGGGGAAGAAAACGAAGAGGAAACCCATGCCCCAGCCTTCACTGGCCTTTGCTCTCAGGCCCATCACCCTTTATTTGTCTATCTCTCTCTCTCTAGCCTCCTTTATTTGTCTATCTATCTCTCTCTCTCTCTCTCTCTCTCTAAATAGCTGTTTTCCTTTCCCTTTCTCTCTCCAAATTACTCTCCCTCCCTTTCTTTGTCAAACTCTCTCTCTCTCTGCTTTTTTTTAGTGCTTAATTGGGTTTGTGCTTAAACATGGCCTTTTAGCCTAATGAATAGTAATTTTTTCCCACGTCAAGAAAGGAATGCTTTTAAAAGAGGGAAAGTTAAAAGCTCTGCTAAGTATCAAACGTTAATATGATATTAAATCTCACCGTAAATCACATGTTTTTTTTATTTTTTATTTTTCTTAAATAATCGGCTACATTTTTTGGCCCACTCCTAAAGCCCCTCAAAAAAGTTATACCATCAGATGGAGTCATCCTTTTGTATTATTCACTCTGTAAGTAATTAGTTACACCTAAGTCACATAATTTGTTTTCTAAAATATCTTATTGTTCACCCTGTGTAAGTAATTAGTTACATTTAAGTCACGTAATTCGGTTTCTAAAATGTCTTATTGTTCACCCTGTGTAAGTAATTAGTTACATTTAAGTCACATAATTTGTTTCCTAAAGTCCCCCCTTTGAGGATGAAAAAGTTATACCATTAGACAACGAGTTGTCTTTTTGTATTATTCGTCATGTGTAAGTAATTAGTTCCATGTAAGTCACATAATTCTTTAAAAGATAGTCGCTTTCACCCTCCGCGAGCGAATTAACAAATTGAGAGCGAATTCGAATTTCCAATCCGCAAATTGTATGCGAATTGTACACAGCAAGCATATTTGTATATTGAATGCATACAAATATGAATAATAATATACTTGGTTACAAATATAAAGAATTACAAATATGATACTAATTGGTTACAAAAATGAAGAATATATTTGTATACTACTAAATGCTTACTTTGATTATTTAGTATTACTTCTTCTTATTCTATATTGATATTTCCATTTAAGGATATTCCATATGAAAAGTTCATAATTACCCTTTAAGTTTTTAAAAATATCAAAATCTAGTTATATATATATATATATATATTAAAATAACAACTTGGTAATTTTAAAAGTCCTAAGAACAAAAGTGGATGACTAATATGGACAGAGGAGTAATAAAAAGAAAGTAGGAAAGCAAGTCAAGGACAGATTTTTATGGCATGACTGTTTTACTTTTGAGGAACGACTGTATCATTTTTCTTTCTTTAAAATATGAAATGCTAAGAATACTTATCTGAAGTGCAAATATTTTAAGATTTATGAGAGAATGTTATTAGCAGAAATGGATTGGAGCTAGATCATCTCATGTGCGGAGAGAATCTATACACAGTGTTGTGCACCAAAACAACGTAGTAATAGTTTACTGCACAGGTCCCCTCTGCAGAAGACCTTTTATAACCCAAGTGATAAAGACAGAAGGAATAGAGACGAGAGAGAATACACGTATTAGATAAGGTAATTGGGTTGTCTACTTGTATGTACGACATTGGGCCTTCAACTGATTAACTTAATTTCAGACTTTTGAGTACTAGATTTTGGGCCCAAATGGAGCCCACACAAAATATCCTCTCATACAACCTCCAAAATATATATATACCAGAAAATTCAAAGAAAAAAATTTAAAACAACCCCACCTTTACCTAACGAATTTTAAGACAATGTCTGGTTGGAAGGGATGCAGTTGTAGTACTACATCTTGTCCCTTATGGTCTGCCACAAAATCCACCATAAAACTCTGAAACGCGGAAAATTTCTGAGTCTTATACCACAAAATAATAAAAATATCCCCACTAATTAAAATTTATTTTGTTGTTGGAACAGTGAGGTTGGAGATGTACCGTCCTCCCACTTTAATGAATGTCTACTAGGTAGCAGTAACCCTAATTCAATCAATGAACATCTCATCAGCTAGTTGTGAATTGAGAGAGTAGGACCCAAGTTGATTATTAGAGTCCATGTTCATCAATAATTGCATTAGCCAGTGTATGTCACGCTTAATTAAATAGTATATGGTAATCAAATTAAAGATTAACTGTTAATGTAATACATAGAAGGCCTCTGCTGCTTTGAGGTTCATGTTCCTTAATAATTTGAATTCGTTGATGCGTGTCCTGCTTACACAAGGTGTTCGAAAATGAATATTATGAGAATTTGTACCTGTGATTACTTCGATTTTTTACCATTACATCGAACAATGACTCGTTTCAAATGTCCCCCCAATCTTAACTAAATTAAATGAGAGACACAGGGCTGCTAAGTATGCATGTTAAAGGACAGTGAGGGCAAATCTTTAGTACAACTGTCTTATAACTGAATGAATCTATTCTTCCGCCGTAAAAAATATTCACATTTATGAAATAGCATTCTTGTAAATTCTTGTCAGTAGTCCTGAGAGATTTTTGGGGACAGCAACATTTGAACCAAAACACTTTTGTCAAGCTTCAAGAGTGATCAAATTTATGAACATTAAAATTCTTCATTAAGTGCAATATTAAACAAAGAACAACCATCTCAGAAACTTTGGAAGATGAATCTTTCGGCTGTTTGTTACTGAAGGAATTATTAAAGAAAACTGGGGAAAAAAAAAAAAGAAAAAAAAAAGGAAGGAATTATTCAAGAAAGAGTGAAGTGGAGTAAATAAAAATCAATACGGTATTGTTAGCATTTTATACAAATCAATATCTGCATGAAGAAGATATACAAATAATACCTGACCTCTTGATAAGAACTTTTTGGCGCACCAGGCTATTGCTTACATCTCTGAAATGGAGATATCCCAAAACATTCTGGAGTTGGTGGTTATTGCAGCTGCAGCTTCATACTTGTATTCTAATAATTTTATGATCAGAATGTGGAGGTGGAAAACGGGCGGTACAGCTTGAAAGTCATGATCCAGATGGACGGTGCCGAGATAGAAAGTGGGACTTACAGGTTGCCATTTAATGCTTCTATTGCATCAATTGATGCAGGGGCTAGAAGGAGAGAATCATCCAGCTTGCTTGTTGAAATCTGATAACTGGATTTTCTTTTAAAGGATTCTGTCAAATTATTAAAACCCATGACTAGAAGTTTCAGAAATTTTGCCAAAGGAAGCTTCTGATAGAGATATCATCTGAACGAGAACAACAATGTAAAATACAATTTTGGATTATGTCTCAAGGCTTGGAAAGTACAGGTGCAAATATGAAATTAGAAAAGAAAAAAAAAATCCAAACAGTTTGAAATAACAGTAGCATTGCTTTAAAGAGCATGATTGTCTGTCCAATTGCTCTGAAATTGCCACTGCTGCAGGCAATTTACATGTAATATAAGATACCATTACCCTTAAATATAATTGGAAAATGGCCTGCAACGTAATTGTTTTGCAAGTCGTTTTCCATCTGCTCCTTTACTAATATTATAAAATTGCCAAAACAATCACAGGGGTTCTGTAAAAGGGGGGGCTGTTCCGGGGTATGAAAGCCTCAGTATTGAATCTATTTGCAGCTGAATTCTTACTCCATGGTCCATCACTATTAGGATGGTTATTCTATAGATTATATATGAAGGCCTTAGAAACTCCTTTGATGAAATGTATTTAAATTTAAGAATGCCTAAATCAGAACCAATAAAAATGAAAATTTTAAATATTATCCAAACGCACAGGTTTCCCAACAACTCTCCCCCATAACAAAAAACATGCTTGATAAGTAACTTTTAAAAATTCAAAGCAGCTATATTTTACTGCTACTTTGACAATTATATCAGATATTAACCAAACTTGCATTTTAAATAAGGGAATTTTCGTGATGAGAAGAATGATCTGCTTACCTATTCTTTCTTGTATGACAGCAGCGTATTTAGCCCCACTACTTTTTTGAGCGAAGGAAAATATACTGCGGTACATTCCAATTGAAGGTTGAATTCCTGCATCCTCCATCCACTGGAGTACCTGCATGACACATTTCATCAATTATTTCATGTACAAAGGATTGAATGCACGTGCTAGGCATGAAATTAGCTTTCTCAAATTCAATAATTATAGATCAGTCACCAAACCAAGAAAACAACAATAGGCAACCGTATAACAAATTTATTCCCGGAACTCTCTCTCTCCATGCGTGAGTGAGTGGAGAGGGGAGTGGGACAGAATGTGTTAGTCCTCTAATGTTTCTCATGTTCTGTTATTTCCATTTAAATAGAAAAACAATCTGGTGTAATTAATGCTTGAAAACAGAGCTTGTCCCTTTACATCAAACAAGCAGCCTTGTTACCCCATAACAAAAGACTATGATCCTTGTCTTTCTACCAGATTAAGGCATGGTTTTCTTCCAGGTTTTCCCAAGTAATTGGGAAAAGACGTGGTGGTGGTGGTTGTTGTAGTGTTGGTTTTCTTCCAATGGAACACCACGTACAGAGCTTAAAAAGACCATTTGTAACTTTTAAAGCTTCCCTTGTGCACGCATAGACATAAAGCATTTGGCCACTATATCAGCAGTGGAAGTATAAAATTAAGAAACAGATAATGCATTAATTCCCAAGCTACGAAATACAATAGGTATGCCACAGAAGTTTGATGCAATTACCTCAATATATTTCCTCCAATTTCCAGCCACCAAAAGATTCTTCAACAAAATTGAATAAGTAGAGAAGCTGATTTCTGCACCAGTTGCCATTATCTTATAGAACAACTGCATGGGTGGTAAAAGGTGAATAAATGTATCAGAACAATTAAAATATCAACTTTAATTATAACAATTGAAATTTAGTGATCCTAAGCCATACAATAAAATATAACGAATGAACTTATGCTATGCTCAGTTGCATGGAATTGGAATTGGAGAAAATTTAGTTCAAAGTTTAAACTAAATTTTCTTCAATTCCAATTCCAAGGAACCAATTCCATGCAACTGAACATAGCATTAATGAAATTACCACACATGTAACTGTTGTTTATGGATCTTATAGATGGAATAATAATAATAATAAAGGAGAAAAATGCATTACTTTACACGTGAAGATATCTTATCTGCTGAACGTTTATTTCCCGGAAAAAAGAAGAAGAAGAAAAGAATCAAGTTATTCCACTGTGCCCCCCAACCCCAACCCCACTAAATAAATAATAAGTACCTTCATCATAGTATCAATCTTCCCAGATTTTCCAATAGAATGCAGAAGCTGATTCAGGAGTCCAACTGAAATAACAGGCAGTGAAGGTTCGATCATTTTGATCAGATTGACTGTTGTCCTCCAGTCTCGTAGTCTTCAACCAACATTCAAGAATTTTAGCTTTGGCAAATGACAAAACATAGAGAACTTATGACAGAGAAAATATATTAAATCAGAAAACCAAAATATAACAGAACTCATTAAGAAAAATGAGACTTATCTCTATTATCCAAGGATAATAAGATGGCACACATAAATAGAAAAGAAGGGACAAAAATGATTTAGCAGTTGTGACAAACAATTTTTGTATTGCTTCAAAAATCAGTATTTAAAATTGTTGAAGGATTTATATATTTGGAGTAGATGGTTGTTAACATCCTATCAGAGTCAAAGGTCTAGAGTTCAAACCTCACCGTCACCCTAATTAAAAAATTGAAAAACACGTGTTGGACCAAAAGAAGGCCAATTAAAAAATTGAAAAACAAGTGCTGGACCAAAAGAAGACCAAACGTCAGGGGACGTGTTGAAGGATTTATATATTTAAGTTACACCCTCTCTAACAGGGAAAGCTTTCGGAGTAGATGGTTGTTAATAGAAATAACCATAAGAGAATGAGACTTGCTTGTTATAATATTATAAGAAAACCACACATAAAAAATAATAATAATAAAAGAATAACGTTAATCTCAATCCCACAAAATAAAAGGAAATCTTCTGATTATCCTCTACACACAGTACAGCAAAAGTCTGCTTGTTTGGAGAATTGAGTTTATTACTGTGTCTAAGTCTCCTCACTTTTTAATGCTTAATATATATACATTCACACATACATATATACATAATCAAGCAAGAGAGAGAGAGAGAGACAGATAGTTAACGAGAGTGTCCTGTGTGTCCAGGAAATCTGCTAAAGATATGTGGACATATCTGATAATTAACAGATGTTGTACCAGCAACGTTTATATTCTTCCATCTTTTAGGCATTACATTAGAAAACAACAGTTGTATTTGGCTCGATTGAAACTCAGATTACAACACAGAGAACTACCCAAGCAGTTCATCGGCATTGTTTCACAGAATTATGTCCAGAAATACACATTAAGAAATAGCACAAAAAGAACAGAAACACAAGATTTTGAGTTAGACTTATCCTGAGTGTGTGACTGTGTGTGTGTGTGTGTGTGAGAGAGAGAGAGAGAGAGAGAGAGAGAGAGAAATGTAGTAATGAAATATTAATTCCTTATGCAAAAAATTCAAAGCAAACCAAACTCACATGCTACACGCTGATACCATTTCAAAGAAAATTGCATCACTATAGGGGATCTTCTTGTCTCTCATAAACTCTGCCAGTGTTAGAATTTTTGATGGTTGGCATCCTTTATTGAAAGCTCTCATCAGAGCTGAACAAGCAATAATATCTGGTTGGACATTGTTCATCTCCATTTCTTGAAACAGTGCAGATGCCTTTTCCCAATTATCTGCAATATGGAAATTCCTCCAAAAGTAATAGCTCAATAAGAATTCCTTTCTAGTCAGACTTTGATCAATCAGCAGTTTAAAAATAAAATACAATCTTACCCGCAGCACTATAAGCATGTATCATAGTAGTGTACGTAATAACGTCAGGACAACAGCCAGCCATTTTCATAGCAGTGAACATAGATTCTGCTTCTGTGAGCCGACCCTGAAAATTGTAGAGAGAGAGAGAGATAAGAATCCTTCAAGTCATGAAGTGATTATTCAAAGATAAAGCTTGCCAAAACACTCACCAGTTTACTGTAGGAACAGATCACAGATGAGTACAGCTCCTTGGACAATGGAACTTTTAACTCCATCATTTCATCAATAAATTCAATAGCCTCATTGTACTTCGACATCTTACAACAACCACTTATTAACACATTATAAGTAACAGAATCAGGTTTAACTTTCTTTTTCCTCATAGATCTGTATAATGCTAAGGCTTTCTCATATTCTCCCACATTCATATAACTACCAATAGCGGAGTTATAAGCAACTGTGTTCAATTCAATGCCCCGCAACTTAGCTGCTGAAAGTATGGAATCAATTTTCACCTTTTGACTGCAGCGCCCACAGGCAGCCAAGAGGATACAAATTGAGACAATGTTTGGCTGCACCCCATTTTGTTCCATTTCACGAAGCACTTCAACGGCTTCCGTAAGCAAGCCATTAGATCCATAGGCATCAATAAGTGCATTATAGCTAACAACATTTGGTTTCCAATTGTTTTGTTTCATCAGATTAAATATTTCCCTAGCCTTTTCAGGATTCTGAGCTCTTCCATAAGCATTAAGTAAAGATGTATAAGATACAACATCTGGGCGAAAACCATTTAATTTTATGTCATTAAAAACTGAGAGGGCCTTTCCACTCATCCCATGTGAAGCATATGCACCTATTAAAGCATTATATGAAACAATATTAGGTCTTAGACCTTCTGCAAGCATGCTGTTAAAGACAGCTTTGCAGTCTTCTATCTGCCCACAAACAGAATATAAATGAATGAGGCTAGTAAATGTCACAATATCAGGACGACATTCTGCTCTTTTCTCCCTCATTGAATTGAAAATATCAATGGCTTCCCCATATTGTCCAAGCTTTACCAGGCAATATATCACAATATTAAGGGTGATGGTATCGGGACGGATTTTTGTCCCTTTCATTAGTTCGAAATAGGACAAGGCTTTTGAATACTGAGCTCCACTTTTGTAAGCAGATAGAACAATATTGTGAGTCACCAGATCAGGCCCAACTCCATTTTCTGTCATTTTCTTACATACTTTCAGAGCCTCTCTCCAATTTCCACTGGATCCACATGCATTAATCAGGTTGTTATACGTCGACCGACTTGGAGGAATCTGCAACATATATTAGGGTCACAAATGTATTTCATAGAATTATGTCAGAGTTATATAGCTAGATTTTAGCTAATGACAGGAAACAAAATGAGAAAATACTAAAAAAATAATCACATATTAAAAGAAACAAAATAAAGCTGTTCATAATAGTTACATATTCAACATGACGATAGAGGAATAATATAAAAATGGCATATTCCCTAATAACTTAAACAATTAACAACCACAAACACTATCTATAGAGCACAATAACTAAATAAGTTGCATAAAAATAAAAGTTCAAGCTAGTATGGAAACTAGGATTATTTTTTTATTTTATTTTTGATAAGTAAAAACTAGGATTATTATAAAATACCACAATGGAAAAAGTTCAATTTGATGTCATGAGATTCAAGTTCTAAGTGACATGGTCAAATAATAGATAAAGTGCTATGAAGGATATGCTAGAAGGAATAATAAACACAGCTGCATTAGTTGGGACTTATTCGAGCTCCAATAAAATGCCTAATTTTTCCCAAACACTGTTTTGATTAGTAATAAAAAACAATCATAACAGGTATAAATCAATACCATCCACCCCCCCAAAATATATATATATATATATATATATATAAAAGATTTGGATGAGACAATAGGATGAATAAGTTTTTTTTTTTCCCTTCCCCAAGACCTTCTAATACTTCACAGGGGTTATATAGAAGGTAGATTTGGTATTAGATACTCTTGAAAATCATGAACCTACAATTATAGTGAAGAAGAAAATTGCTAGAAAGTAGTCTTGCATATTAAGTTCGGACCTTAAGGAGATTAGTCATACCCAGGGTATTGGACATCCAAACGCAAGGCGGTGCCAAGGGAAGAGTTTGGTATTTTACCTTTAAATATGAATTAATCGCAAAACTACTGTACAATTCAAGTACAAAAAAACTAGATTTACCTTAATTCCTTAGTAGATTTCTTAGAGGACAAAGATTTGCAGACATCGCATCACAAAAAAAAAAAAAAATTATTTAAAAAAAAATTAGAACAATATCTCAAATGTTGAAGTACTGATTATTAAAAGACAGATGTCATGATTCCTTCAAGCTGATTTATAGTATAAGAGACAAATTCAAACATCTCTGCTTTCCGTTTCCGTTTCCAGGACAGTGACCTTAGGAATTAAAAAACAACTTTATCAGAATTATAAAGGTCCTTCAACTTACCCCAAGAAAACTAAACACACACACACAAGTTCTTTTCAGTGGTCAATTTTAAATAAAGAGGCAATATTCCAAATTACTTACCATATTTTTTGTATCTCTCTTGTTCCTCAAAACTCTAAAGTAAATAGAATTCATTCAATAACCTTGTCAGTTCAAATGAACATGCTAAATGATGAGTCAATTCCTCCAAACTCCATGGAAAATCTAAAATGATTTTGGGCAATCCATGCTCACCCCACGAATAAAGATCATAAAGGTGGTAAGTAGAACTATGTTAATCATGATATCAGTGATAATTATAGAAACAAACTCAAAATTGCAGAGGTGGTACTTAACAGTGAACAAATTTTCTCCATTATATACAGTTTGAACATGAAAAGAAAAAGAAGGAAGCTCACATCAGAACCACTAAGTTTCATAATGGAAGAAGAATAAAAATACACACAGCTGCGCGAAGCATGTCTTCCATAATATTCAGTGCCCAACGCCATTGACCAGCTCGACCATGTGCATTGATGAGCGCGTTGTAAGTTTCAGCATTTGGCTTGCACCTAGCAGAAATACAGAAGTGTTGAAAGTAATGTCTATGGAGTAAAGAAAAGAAAAAAGGAAAAACAGAAGAAAAAAATTAATTGAGCAAAGTGAATTATCTTTACAATTATTTGCTGCAAACTATGCTACCAAAAATTGAATGTATAGGTATTTATAAATTAAACTGTATTTCATTTTTGCATCTCTTTCTGTTTGTCGCAAAAACAACATTCAACATTCAAAATTCATTGAAAGTTATGATATTAAACGGAGAAGGTATATATTCAGCAAAATAAAACTTCATCTTGGAATACAAAACAACACTAGAAGTTGCAATGCATATAATTTTCCAGGTCACATTAACATTATCTACCAAAAAAATGTCCTTCGAACCCTCATGAGAAATTTTCCGTATCTTTGTAACAAACAAAATAAATAAATAAAACCCTTGGGGTTGGCTCAAGTAGGTAATTCTTTGAGGGGAGGGGGTTGAGTATCAACTAGGGAAAAATAAATAAATAAAAAATAATAATAATAATTATACGCATACCTCCACTCTTTCATCTCAAAAAACAAACCACGTGCCTGGTCTGTTTGATTATGCCTGGCATGTAGCCTGATCATCATATTGTAGATATCAATTCGAGAACAATAGTTCTTCTGGTGCTTCATCCAACGGAAAATGTGAACGCTATGCTCTAGTGAACCGGTTTGAGTTATTTCCTACACCAATTAAATAACAATAAGAGGTTTTGAAGATTTCACATAAAAAGTTAATATTAGTTGCTCCTGTCAACATACTTCATTGCGAGGACATAAGAAAAGTAAAATCATAAAATATGCCAATTAAAAGAAAAGCTAAATTTCCAAATGTTTTATGATACCAGGAAATGCTTGACATAAGAAGTTAGAGAGAGAGAGAGAGAGATTGGTTTTCTGAATTGAATTACCCTTATAAGAATAGGAAAATTCTTTCTGGCAAATCTTCCAACCCAGTGATTGAGCAAGCCTTCAATGTCATTCCAATGATTGAGCTTCAAAATCCTCTGAACCACCTCAGATATGGTCCAATCCTTCTGAAACCGGTCTGATTCGACTCGCAATCGGTAGTGCTTGGGTATGTCATTCTTTCTGAGGCCACTCACGTGAACAGAGAGTTGGTGCTTCCCTTTGTCGTAGTCCACAAACCCTAACTTCTTCTCCTTCCAGGGCTCCTCGTTCGTTGTCTTCTTGCACACTACTAACTGGGTTTTTCTGGGATTATGCTTGCTGTTCTTTGAAGATGTGGGTGAGTATAATTTGGGTTTAAATGGGTCGTTTGGATGACTGAGGTTGAAGGACTGTGGGTGCTGTAAGGCCGCCATGGAGAAAGGATAAACCCCGACTTCTATTCCATGAAGCTATACACCAGAAAAACTTAATTGGGACAACTGTATCGTAGCAGTGACTAATAATGCAAGTTATAGTTACTCACCCACCGTAACAACAATTATATAGCGTGTGATAAAATAAAGTGTAAATTACAGTATTTTGATTTTAACTTCCAATTACATTTTTTAATTATTTTCATGTGAATTGATCTATCTATTTATCTCATTATTTTAATGTAAAATTATATCAAATATTTATAAACTCAAATGACAAAAATGCATGCATATATGTATGCATGCATTTTATTTGATTTTCATCTCCACCATGGATTCCCGCGATTGCAGCACCTCCACCGATCGTAATACCATCCTTCCATTTTCGTAACCATCACCACCAACATCCCACCCAACAACCACCACCATCCTCACCCCAACCACCATTACTATGTGTCTTCCCATTTATGAATTTCATAGCCAATTAAATATCCATTGCTAAAGTTTTAGTGCTCGGTGGCGGCTGAGAGATCGGTTCGACAAAGGCGGCCTCGATACAAAGGCTGTTATAGAGAACGAACCACCACCAACAATCTTGTTGCAGTCAAGGCGAAGCCAAGATTTTATTTTAGGGGGCACAATGCACTTTTTTTTTTTTTTTTTTTTTCTTAGTTGGTACTCACACACACTTGTCTCCTCTGAGACTTGAATCCCTGACCTCCGATAATACCCTTAATTTTAAAAGGACAGTCTCGGTATTTTATTAATGGTTTTAATTGTGTTTTAATTCTTTATTTAATTTCTTGGCTATTTGTTTAATTGTTTATATGAATTAATTGATTATGTATTTAATTGAAATATTTGTTTAGTTGATTATGTGTTTATTTGAGATATGGTATGTGTTTTCTTGAAATTAATGGTTAGGAATTAAATGTGTTAAATGGTTGTTTTATTTTATTTTATTTTAATGGTTATGGATAGTAGTCATGGGTCAACCAATTGGGTTTCATGAACTACTTGGATAAGGGGTTTAATGAGTATGGATAATTGCCGATAGATAATGGATAGTGTATATGTATATCTATATAATTAAATATACATATATATTTAAGGAAAGTCCTTTGGGAATAATCTGATGTATTTATTTTACTTAGATAAAAATAATATATATAAAGTATACGTAACATATATTTTTATTTATCTTTTTAATATTTTTATTTTTATTATTTTCTTTATTAATTGGAGGTGGATTGGGAAAATGAGTAGGGTTATGTATTTAGCCTATAAATATGTAACTATAGGGTTGAAAAAAACAGGACTAGAAACATATCACGTATAATATTTGAGAGAGAGAAAGAAAGAAAGAGGAAAAAGGAAGAAGAAGAATAATAAGAAGGTTAGGGTTTTTATCAAATCCCTAAAGGCAAGTTCTTTGTTCTACACTTCTCCTTTGATCTGTGAAATTTATATTTATAGTATAATCTTAGGGTTATGTAAAGAACAATAAAAATTGAAATTTATAATTTAATTGATCTAGAACATATGTTTTAATTCCATGGTTGTTCTTGTTGTATGAATTAATAAATTCAGGGATGTGATTTAATTACTTTATGAATTGTTACATATTTTACATGATGTATTTTTCATATCTGTATATTGATGGAACCTATAAACATGCCTTAGAATCCTTAAATGATAAATATTTAGGTTCACAGTAGAATTCTGGGTTTAATTGCGTAAACAGGATTTGAGTCGTCGATAAAATGCTCGAGACTTGAATGAAAAGCTCGAGCCTGAAAGGAAAAGCTCGAGCCTGAAAGGAAAAGCTCGAGCAATTGGATGTAAAGTTCGAGCCTGAAAGGAAAAGCTCGAGCAATTAGGTGAAAAGCTCGAGCCTGAAGCAGGATGCTCAAACCTGAAACAAAATGCTTGAGTAATTGGGACAAAAGCTCGAGCCTTACTTGGAAAAGTTTCGTAAACAACGTTAATTACTTTTAATTTAATTTGAAGAGTCCTAAACATAAAATAAGGATTATGAATGAGTTTAAATAAATTTTAAACAAACTTAAATATATCAATTCATGCTATTTGAATTCTTTGAGGAATGAATGGATTTAATCTTTATTTTGTTCTATTAATTAAGATTAAATGTGTAGCATAATTGTATGTGGAGAATGCTTACTTGACTGAATAGTAAAATATCAGCATGCTTAAGATTCAGTTTGTGGAGGATGTGTGATGTAGGAAGCTTAAATAATTTTATAAGCTATTCCTATTATGTTGTAACATGATATCATATTATTATGTTTATTCTGGATTATTTGATGAACTTTCTTTAATTGTTACATCAACTATTGGACTGTGTGGATGTAGTGCACCGGTATGGGATGGTGACACTTTACGGATGGATTAACTTATCAGTTAAGTCATACTTATTTTACAAGGGAATAGATTAATTAAAATGTTAAGTCCTACTTATATTTGTGTCAAATCAACTGAACAAGTTGGATGATATATAGTGGATTAATTTAGATTAGATTTATATATATAGATATATGCTATGATATGAGCTTGAGTTTCAGGATCAGTGGATATGGTGCATATATTGCTAGGGATGTGTAGCTAGATTTAGTGTGTTGTGTGCCCTGGTAAGTCTAGGTACTCATGTCCACTATATGTGTGTTTTGCATGTTGAATACTATTCAGGTTGAGGCAACCCTATAGTCTAGTAGGTTCCTTTAGTATATATATGTATTATGGACTATATAGTTATTGAATGGGTTAGGTATAGATATGTAGTTTCTCCGGTCTTTGTTTGGGTTGTCGTAGAAAGAACTTGTTCGTGGGCCTAACCCATTATTATTATTTTTCAGGTGTTCATCAGTTTCAGACATAGGGCTTGTTCGTGCTGAGCAGAGACGGTCCACATCATTCTTCCGATTCTACGTAGGATTCTCTTTATGCTTTAGTGTTGGGATTATATTTCTTTTCAGTTGGTTCAGTTTGGTTTATCATTAGGGGTCCATTAGATGAATTTCCGAGTTGTAATGATATTAAAGATTTTTGGATATTTCATTTGGAGGATTTATTATTTAGTTTTTTTTCCTGCTATTTTAATTATTCTTAGTTATTTCTTTTGTAATCAAATGCTTGTTTAAATATTAATTGTTGATATCCCTTGTATTTTGTGCTCGGAATCGATCACCCGTGGCTCTATAATCGATGGGTATCACACCTCCTGTGATACCCCTCGATTTTAGAGCCACGTGTGATCGAGTTCAAGCACAGATCCGAGGGATACCAAACAATCAAGTATATAAACAAGCATTGATTACAAAAAAATAAAGAATAAATAAGCTGAAAGAAATCTAAATAATAATCCTTAAAATTTAATTAAATAATCAAATATTTCCAAAACCTTCAATATTATTACAACTCGGGAATTCATCTAGTGGACCCCTAATAATATCCCATCTGGAAATAAATAACTAAACTGAAAGAAAAACCAAAACTAAAACATGAAGAATGGTCCTACGTAGTGGGAAGAGTGAGTAACTGTCTCTGCTCGGCACGAACAAGCTCTAAGATTGGAACTGTTGAACACTTGAAAAATAATAATGGGTCAGACCCACGAACAAGTTCTACTCTACTACAGTCCAAATAGAGACTCGATACACGTATATTTTTTAGATAACTCAACAATAACTAAGTAGTCCACAAATATATATATACACACACTATAGGACGCTTACTGGACTATAGGTCTGTCTCAACTTGAATAAACGACAACGTGCAAATCACACATAAAGTGGGCATGTGTACCTAGACCTACCAGGACACCCAGATATTTACTATATCCAATTATCCATCTCAGGCAATATACGTACCCTAACCATGATCCTGAGACTCAAATTCATATCATGGCACCATAATTATATATATATAAAGTCCGTATAAGCATAAGATAAAAATGTCATCCATTTGATACAGTGGCCTGACATAAATAATGAGGACTTAACTTCTTTGGTTAATCCATTCCCTTATAAATCCAAGTAGGTAGGACTTAACTTTTATTAGCTAATCCATCCCTAAGATGCCACCATCCCATAATGGTGCATCATATCCATATAATCTAATAATTGATGAAATAAATAATAAATTAAAACATTAATTAATCCAGACTAAGCATAATAAAAATCTGTAAAATAACACGATCATATTATACCACTGATACATGATTAAAAATTGTACAATCATGCATAGAAAATTGCTAGAGTAAAAGTAAACAATTTAAATCATCCATATCCAATAACAACATGCGAATTTGTTTAAAATTTCATATTATTCAAATTCTTAGCATTATAAGGTTTATTATGTACTATGGGATTTTAACTTGACCTTAGAATTCATTTAAATTCCCCGTGAAAGTTCCTAATTAAGTCTAGAACCTCAAAACCTAAACACAGTGGCCAAAAACCCGTAAAAAAATAAAAAATAACATTCAGGAAGGAAACCAGCCTCCCTCGTAGAGGGAACTGCCTCCTTCCATCATGGGGCGGGCTCCCTCCTAAGGGAGCTGCCTCCCTAAGCCAAACAGAGCCGGCTCCCTATTAAGGGAGCCGCCACCCTTAAAGAGGGAGCTGGCTCTCTCCCTGCTACGCAACATCTTCTTCATCTCCGGCGACTTCCGATCATTTCGTTCATCTCTGTTAAGGTCCCTAACGGTCTGAGCTAAGTCTCAGATTATCTCAGAAAATTACCTAAATCCATTATACATTATTAACACCAATTAAAACAAGTATTCATGCAAGAAAATTCAAGATCAAGTAATTATAATTTCATTAACATACATTCTATTTTAATCCGATTCAACATGCATACATGATCAATTTAAGGTCTAAATTACTTTTGGAATTGTTTTAGGCATGTACAGAACACGAAGCCTAAGGGAGAGAGTTAGAAAAAGAACTTGCCTTTAGTTTCAGTTTGAAACCTTAAACCTTCTACTCTGATTATTCCGGCGACCTTGGTTGCCTTCACAGACTCTCTGTTGCTCCTGGTTCAACCCACGAGAAAGCTTCAATAACCCCTCATTGGTTCAGCCCTTGTTCTTAGTCAAACCCTAATTCTCCCCCTCTCAGTTTCTCTGTAACTTTCTGTATCTCTTAATCTCTATGTGTACGTGAATAGGGTTTTTAATCCTTGGTAGACATATAATGATATATATATAGGCAAATAAGAATAACATTAATCCTATTCATTCTCCAAGTCTAACAACGAGAGAATGAAAATAAAATAAAATAAAATAAAAAGGAAAATAATACCTAATACAAATATATAATTTACTGTACATGACTACATATATATATATATATATTTATAAAATATAATTTATACTTATACATATGCATCTTACCCTCCTAGTATAATAATAATTACACATTAATAAATAAATTCCTATATATATATATATCACTATTATATATATATATCCCTCCATGGGTCCATATCCGTACCCATTTAAAAATCCTATTCAAGTAGTCCATGCGACCCATTAGTGTGGTCCATTATTACTATTTACAGCCCAACTCCTTTAAATAAATAAAAAATAGAACACTTAAATCCTAAAAATTAAGCGACACATGATACACATAAGCAGATACAAATAATTCAATTAAAATATTTAAATTCAAATAAGCCAACAAATTACATTTAATCACTTAATTAAATTAAACACATAAACAAATCATCAATTAATCAATTAAATAAATAAAAAATGAAAATAAAAGAAATAAATAAATTTCGAGACTATCCTTTTAAAATTAGGGGTATTACACTTTCTTTTGGGAAGTAAGAGGCTGATACCGCTAGGTCACTGATCCATTGATAATGCACTTATTGAAAGAAAAAAAAATTAATAAAAAATAACAAATAAAAACAAAAGGATTGGACCATATCTGAGGTGGTTCAGAGGATTTTGAAGTGAGAGTTCCTAGTGGTGTCTCCTCTGATTTTTTTTTTTAATTATTTTTTTCTTATTGAAAAAAAAAATCAACAAGTACGACAAATATATTTTTTAAAATCAAAAGACAAACAAGAAAAAAAAAAGTTGTAAAATAATATGCTAAACAAGTACTGTAAAAAAAATATACTTTGACAAATATAAGAATTAAAATATTGATTAATAATATTGTAATTAAATACAATCACAAATACCATCAATAAAAAGAACGAAGAGGAAAAAATGGTACAGTACATAAATTATACATAAGTGAAAAAAGATTTTTTTTGAAAAATGAAACAAAAATTAGAAAATGAAAAATATACAGTGTCCTTGAAGAAGGGGGATATATGTATTTTTTTTCTTTTTTCAAAAGGAAATTAGAAAAATTTAAAAATTTTAGGCGGTACTATTTAAAATTACTATATAAGTATATGTATAATAGCAAAATGTATACTTATGCATAGTAAGTTGGAGCAAGGGCGGGGGCACGAGCCCCCTCTGGGCCTTAATTGGCTCTGCCCTTGGTTACGTACAGCTGGTGGCGGGGAGAGTCTAGTTAGAGCGGAAGATGTCGTGGGCATCAGTTCGGGATTGGAAGAGGGAAAGGGTAGTAGTGTCATTGGTGGGTGTAGAGAGAGCAAACGAGTGTAGAGAGATAAAGAACTTGAGATTAGGAACCGTGGCGATGTGGTGCAGCACTTGGTTCACTGCGGCCCGACTCGATTATTTTGATTTATAATAATATATATATTTTTATATATATACAAACTTTGGTAAATTATTTATTTATTTTTTGCCGATTTGGTCATTTTGATTTATAATATATATATATATATATATAAACTTCGGTAATTTATTATTATTATTATTATTATTATTATTATTTTTGTTATTGATAAGAAACTCACATACCCACTTTGTTCCTTTGGAGATTTGAACTCTCACCATTCACTTTGGAAGATAAAGGAGACACCACTAGGAGAGTCGTTGGTAGCAGTATCCGTAGGTCAATTAGAATGTTTTTTTCAAAAATTTAATTAATTAATTTTTTTTTTCTTGCACACGCATACACATATTAGTTAAGTCACGTTATACATCAAACAACACAAAGTTAGAAAGGTAATCTCGTCATTTCACAGGCAAAAAGGGTTCCAAAATCACTTAAAAGTGACATTTGGAGTGTGATGAAATACGTAAGTGCAAGTAAAAACCAAAATGTTCATCGATATGAGATTGGACCAAACTTGAAGGGTTGTCAATGTAATTCACCCTAAGTCATGTTATACATCGATGTGAGATTTAAAACACGAATAAGTAAATTTAAAAGAGTTTGTTTCGACTTAAAATGTTCTCTTTGAAAAATACGAAAAATTAATGGACAAATTATTTTTGTTAAATTTTAATATTTTTTTCCCATAAATTATGACAATTAAATACTACAAAAATAAAAAAAATATTTTACCGGACTCTATATGACCCACTACCTAGATAAATTATGGAACCTCCATGTTTTTTTGTCACTTACACTCTCCCCCTGTATTATTATTTTTTTTTAATTTTTATTTTTTCTCTCACCGCCGGTATTAATGGTTCGTGTAAAATGAATGGTCTGTACGCCTTGCTTTGACCTTTATTCTCCTCCACTCCACGCACTGACGCACGCAATGAAGTATCTCCATCTCCTCCACTAAAGTCTTCTTCCTTTGTTCCATTACTCAACTCCTCACTCCATTACTTTTACTGTGCTAACATTATAGTACATTGTTTTTTTTTTTTTTTGTTTTTTTGTTTTTTTTATCCTTCATGCATGGATGGTTCCTGCAGATCCGAGACTAATACTAGTAGTAATACAGATCCACAAGTACAATTATCTTCATGGAGCTACCATGTCTTCCTGAGCTTCAGAGGCCAAGACACCCGCAACAACTTCACGGATAGCCTCTACCGGGCACTCGTCCATGCCGGCATCCACACCTTCCGGGATGACAAAGAGCTCCGAAAAGGCCAGGACATCGCTTCCGATCTCCTCACAGCCATCCAGCTCTCCAAGATCTCCGTCGTCGTCTTCTCCAACAACTACGCTCACTCAAGGTACGTATGTCGTGGCTGTGTCTTCACTTTAACTCCCATCCTCAAAATTGATTTCATCAGAAAGTTAATTAATTGCAAAACATTATTATTATTTTTTTAAACCCAGTACAAATATCAAAGATACATCAATGTAGATTTTAGACAAACAAATCTTAATCGAGTAATAGATTTTTTTATTTTTTATTTCTTTGACCCTGAATAAAAAATTATTCTCACAAAACAAAGAATATATTCCCAAAAAGTTGTATACAGGTAATTATTCTTTGTATTCGTCTTAATTAATTTCTGTAACAAATATTGAATCAAACCTACTGATCCGGTTTGGTCCAATTCCGGTTCAACCTGTTTTTGTGCACCCTTAATATATACATAATATATGCTTGCGAACTCCTTCAGGTGGTGCCTGGACGAGCTGGTGAAGATCGTGGAGTGCAAGAGGTTTTTGGGGCAGATTGTTCTGCCTGTTTTCTACGATGTTGATCCGTCACAGGTTCGGCATCAGAGCGGAGCTTTTGCAGAAGCATTTGCGCAACACCAACAACGGTTTGATTGTATAAGAGTAACAAAATGGAGGGATGCGCTTACTGAGGTTGCAAATTTGTCTGGCTGGGACCTAAACGCTGTCACCAATGGGTAATTATGGAACCACATTTTAGGTTTATTTACAAAATACTACTGTAACTTCCTCTTCTTCTTCCTCCTTTTTTTATTTTATATTTTTATTTTTTGAGGGCTATAAACAAGAAATTGAAAAACTCTTGGTTATTTGTCAATTTAGATGCTTGATATATGTGTCAATTTAAATTTAATTAATTTTATACTGCATGGAAGAAATATAATTGAACTTCATATGTTTCTTTGTCAAAATGAGACATTTCTGGCCATTTTGAATCATAAAAAGTCATGCTACATTATGATATTTTCTATTTTAATGACAATTGGCAGGCATGAATGGAAGTTCATTCGGAAAATAGTTGAAGAAATCTCAAACAAACTAAATCATAGGTACTTGAGTGTTGCTATCCACCCCGTCGGAATAGATTCTCGAGTACAACACCTGAATGATTTGCTAAGCATTGGGACAGACACAGTTCGCATAGTTGGGATATGTGGAATGGGTGGAATAGGTAAAACAACCATTGCAAAAGCGCTCTACAACCAACAATTTCACACATTTGAAGGAAGTAGTTTTCTTACCAGCGTAAGGGAAATTTCAGAGCGACCTAATGGTTTGGTGTGTTTACAAGAGCAGCTTCTTTTCGATATCCTGATGAAAAAAAAGCTGAAGATCAGGAATGTTGATAGAGGAATTAATGTCATCAAAGATAGACTACATAATAGAAGGGTACTTGTAGTTCTTGATGATGTGGATCATTTAGACCAATTGCGTGCTTTAGTTAGAGAACGTTATTGGTTTGGTTCTGGAAGTAGAATAATTGTCACAACTAGAGATGTTCATTTGCTAAAAGTTATCGGAGTTGACAGGATATATATGGCTAAGAAATTAGGTCGTGTTGAATCTCTTCAACTCTTTAGTTGGCATGCCTTTGGGAAAGGCGATCCTTGGAAAGATTATTTAGAGCTGTCAAAAGCTATAACAGGCTACCTTGGAGGGCTCCCATTAGCTCTTCAAGTTTTTGGCTCCTTTCTTTTTGACAAAAGAAGCATGCCTGAATGGGAAAGTGCATTGGAGAAGTTGAAAAAGATTCCTGATAATCAAATTCAGGAAAAACTAAAAGTGAGTTTTGATGCACTTGAAGATGATGAACAAAGGGATATATTTCTTGATATTGCATGCTTCTTTATTGGAATGGATGAAGGAGACGTGATACGGATACTGGATGGTTGTGGCTTCTCCTCAAAGATTGCAATTCGCATTCTTGTGGATAGGTGTCTCGTGACAATCAATGATAAAAACAAACTTGGAATGCATGATTTGTTGCGAGATATGGGAAGACAGATCATCCGTGAGAAGTCCCCCAAGGAACTTGGGAAACGTAGTAGATTGTGGCGCCATGAGGATGTCTTGGATGTATTGACAAAGCATACGGTAAGACGCTAAATAAATTAGTTGCGTTCCTTTCTGCTGTGTGCGTTTCTAAACGATAGCGTTATAGATTTTTTACTTACCTAATGATTTTCTCAGGGAACAGAAGTAGTTGAAGGCCTCATTCTAAACTTCTGCAGTCAAAATGTGGTGCCCTTGAGAACTGAAGCATTTGCAAAGATGCAAACACTACGGTTACTCCAACTCAATTATGCAAATTTGATGGGAAGCTATGAACATTTCTCGAAAGAATTAAGATGGTTATGTTGGCACGGATTCCCATTGAAGCAAATACCAACCAATTTTAGTCTGCAGAATGTAGTTGAAATTGACATGTCTTGCAGTGGCCTGAAACAAGTTTGGAAGGAGACTAAGGTATGAAATTATTGTCTTCAGTTTATTTTGTGGAAGTATGAAATTACATTCTTCATTTTATTGTGAAAATTAACCATCTGTTTTTTGTTTCTTACTCTAAACACAGATGCTCAAAAAGTTGAAGGTCCTTAATCTCAGCCATTCCCATAACCTAACCAAAACCCCAGACTTCAAAGGACTCCCTAGCATCGAGAGATTGTTACTCCTAGAGTGCACAAGTTTGGTAGAAATTCATCAATCAATAGGAAATCTTGACAAACTTGTATACTTGAATTTGAGAGATTGCAAAAATCTTAGGATTCTTCCAGTAACTATGTGCGAGTTAAAGTCTCTTGAAAATCTTGATCTGTCAGGGTGCTTGAAACTTGATAAGTTACCAGAAGACATTGGCAAAATGGAACAATTGAGGGTGTTTCTTGCATATAACACAGCTATAAAGCAACTACCCCTTTCCATCAATCTTTTGAGGAACTTAAGGGAATTATCATTTAGTCAAAATGATCAAACAGTGTCCACTGTATCTTTCCCTTCGCTCTTCTGGTCCTTGTTTTCACCCAAAAAAATTCCAGATTCAATGAGTTTATTACCAACTTCTGTATCTGGTTTGTGCTCCTTAAGAAGACTATTCCTTCCAAATTGCAATTTGATAGATGATTCACTTCCTAATGACCTGGGGACCTTACCATCATTGCAACAGTTGGATCTAAGAAACAACAATTTTTGTAGCCTACCGACAAGCATCAGTCGCCTTTCCAAGCTTGAGAGCCTTCTATTGGATGATTGCACCAAGCTTAGGTCAATTCCAGATCTTCCAGCAAGTTTGGCCTTCTTAGTTGCACCAAATTGCTCATCTTTGGAGAGGATATCAAATGTATCAAATGCGCCCGCAAATCTATCCATGTTTCTTAGTGGGTGCAGCAAACTAGCTGAGATTACTGGATTGGACAAGTTGGAATCCATAGACAACATTCACATGGAATGGTGTAGCAATTTGGCAAATTCTTTTAGAAATAGCCCCTTCATCATGGTTCTCTCTCTCTCTCACTCTCTCTGTCTCTCTGCGCGCGCGCTGTGTGTCTAACATCTTATTTTTATTGACAGGAACTATCCAGATATTGTAAAAATGCATTTTATCTTCCTGGAAGTGAGATTCCAAACTGGTACAACTATCAAACTGTGGGAGCTTCAATTTCTTTTGAGGTGCCTCGGCTTTCTGATCAGGTGATCCAAGGGTTTGCATTATGCATCATATACTCTGCAGAAGTAGATACGATTAATAACGATACTACGACATTTACTTTTCTTGATGTTGTGATTAATAACAAAACCAAGCGCATTGAATGGATGCGGAAAACAACTTCGAGCATCCTAATAACCCGCCAAGATCACATGTGGTTGGCCCATGTACCGCATTCTGATATTGGATATGAGCTCCAGGGTGGGGATCAGGTGGAGGTTTTGTTCACCACTGATGATGATTCAACAAAGGTGAGGAAGTGCGGGATTCGACTAGTGTATGAACAACAAGATTCAAAAGGATTGATGAACCAATATCGCTTGCCTGCTTCTCATAGTCATAGTGTTGCTGTTGAAGTTGAAGAAGATAAGCAAGGAAATGGCGATGAATCATCATCATCATCCAGAAAGCAGCTGGTGCGTACTGAAATCGAGGAAGGCAATAACAATGAAGAAGGGGAGCCTGTGGATGCCTTGTCTGTTGAGGATTGTGATAATTATCCGAACCCAAAAAGGCTGAGAATGAGCTTGATCGACGAGAATGAGTAAGATACAGACTACTGTTTGAGTACGTTTCAGAGTGTAACAGACACCTCAATTGTGCTTCATCATCATGAAAAGTTGTTCCAACATACATGGCCAGCTCTGAAGGGTCTGTGTACGAGCTTGTGTGTATTAAACCTAGGAATTATACAGCTACTCCATTTCGAAGGCATTCTTGTTAAATTCGATTATGAATTTTATCTCTTTTATTTGAGTTAAGTTGTTATTCTTGTTGTTAGATTAAATTCTGAACTTTTCAATTTGTTAAATTATAAATTATATATGTTCATAGAAATATGAAATTAAGTATAGTCCCAGTTGTTTGTCACTTAATTCTCATGCCCATGTATTTTTCATCGCTTGTCCCCTGGTCTGAGTATCACCTTTCAGAAAGAGTACATGAGAAAGAAGTACAAGTTAAGCTTGAAAGTGAAGCCTTGAACTATATGCGCACACACGTGTATGTATATCTGTATATATGTGTGTGTGTGTGACGGCTACTTAGTACTTGGTTTTAAGTTTTTGTACATGCCTATTTATGCATGACTCAGATACTAAAACACTTTCCCTGTCACTAATCTCTGCTCTCTCTCTCCCTCTCTCTCTCTCTCTCTCTCTCACACACACACACACACACACACAACCTCGCATGACCACCAAATAGAGAATCTATACACAGTGTTGTGCACCAAAACAACGTAGTAGTAGTTACTGCACAGGTCCCCTCTGTAGAAGACCTTTATAACCCAAGTGATAAGACAGGATGAATAGGGACGAGAGAGAGAGAACACACGTATTAGATAAGGTAACTGACTACTGGGTTTTCTACTTGTATATACGACATTGGGCCTTCAAGTGATTAACTTAATTTAAGACTTTTGAGTACTAGATTTTGGGCCCAATTGGAGCCCACACAAAATATCCTCTCTCACACAACCCCCAAAAATATACCAGAAAATTTAAAGAAAAAAATTTAAAAGAACAATTTTAAGACAATGTCTGGTTGGAAGGGATGCAGTTGTAGTACTACATCTTGTCCCTTATGGTCTGTGCCACAAATCCACCAAAAAACTCTGAAACAGGGAAAATTCCTCACTCTTATACCACAAAATAATGAAAATATCCCCACTAATTAAAATTAATTTGGTTGTTGGAACAGTGAGGTTGAAGATGTATCGTCCTCCCACTTTAATGAATGTCTACTAGGTAGCAGTAACCCTAATTCAATCAATGAACATCTCATCAACTGGTTGTGAATTGAGAGAGTAGGACCCAAGTTGATTATTAGAGTCCATGTTCATCAATAATTGCATTAGCGAGTGTATGTCACGCTTAATTAAATAGTATATGGTAATCAAATTAAAGATTAAACTGTTAATGCAATACATAGAAGGCCTCTATTGCTTTGAGGTTCATGTTCCTCAATAATTTGAATTCGTTGATGCGTGTCCTGCTTACACAAGGTGTTCGAAAATAAATATTATGAGAATTTGTACCTGTGATTACTTCGGTTTTTTACCATTACATTTTCAAATGTCCCCCCAATCTTAACTAAATTAAATGTGAGACACAGGGCTGCTAAGTATGCATGTTAAAAGGACAGTGAGGGCAAATCAGAAGTACTGTCTTATAACTGAATGAATCTATTCTTCCGCCGTAAACAATATTCAGATTTATGAAATAGCATTCTTGTAAATTCTTGCCAGTAGTGCTGAGAGATTTTTGGGGACAGCAACATTTGAACCAATACACTTAATGTCAAGCTTCAAGAGTGATCAAATTTATGAACATTAAAATTCTTCATTAAGTGCAATATTAAACAACGAAGAACCGTCTCAGAAACTTTGGAAGATGAATCTTTGGGCTGTTGTTTGTTACTGAAGGAATTATTCACGAAAGAGTGGAGTGGAGTAAATAAAAATCAATATGGTTTGTTAGCATTTTACACAAATCAATATCTGCAGGAAGAAGATATACAAATAATACCTGACCTCTTGATAAAAACTTTTTGGCGCACCGGACTACTGTTCACATTTCTGAAATGGAGATATCCCAAAACATTCTGGAGTTGGTGGTTGTTACAGCTGCAGCTTCATACTTGTTGAAATCTGATAACTGGATTTTCTTTTAAAGGATTCTGTCAAATTATCAAAATCCATGACTAGAAGTTTCAGAAATCTTGACAAAGCAAGCTTCTGATAGAGGTATCATCTGAACGAGAACTACTATGTAAAATACAATTTTGAATTGTCTCTCAAGGCTTGGAACAGTACAGGTGCAACTATGAAATTAGAAAAGAACAAAAAAATCCAAAGAGTTTGAAATAACAGTAGCATTGCTTTATTGTCTGTCCAATTGCTCTGAAATTGCCACTGCTGCAGGCAATTTACATGTAATATAGGATACCACTACCCTTAAATATAATTGGAAAATGGCCTGCAACGTAATTGTTTTGCAAGTCGTTTTCCATTTGCTCCTTTTACTAATATTATAAAATTGCCAAAGCAATCACAGGGGTTCTGTAAAAGGGGCTGTTCCGGGGTATGAAGCCTCAGTATTGAATCTATTTGCAGCTGAATTCTAACTCCATGGTCCATCACTATTAGGATGGTTATTCTATAGATTATATATGAAGGCTCAATTTACAAACTCCTTTGATGAAATGTATTTAAATTTAAGAATGCCTAAATCAGAACCAATAAAAATGAAAATTTTAAATATTATCCAAACGCACAGGTTTCCCAACAACTCTCCTCCATAACAAAAACATGCTTGATAAGTAACTTTTAAAAATTCAAATCAGCTATATTTTACGGCTACTTTGACAATTATATCAGATATTAACCAAACTTTCATTTTAAATGAGTGAAATTTCGTGATGAGAAGAATGATCTGCTTACCTATTCTTTCTTGTATGACAGCAGCGTATTTAGCCCCACTACTTTTTTTAGCGAAGGAAAATATACTGCGGTACATTCCAATTGAAGGTTGAATTCCTGCATCCTCCATCCACTGGACTACCAGCATGATGACACATTTCATCAATTATTTCATGTACAAAGGATTGAATGCATGTGCTAGGCATGAAATTAACTTTTTCACATTCAATAATTATAGATCAGTCACCAAACCAAGAAAACAACAATAGGCAACCGTATAACAAATTTATTCCCGGAACTCTCTCTCCATGCATGAGTGGAGAGGGGAGTGGGACAGATTGTGTTAGTCCTCTAATGTTTCTCATGTTCTGTTATTTCCATTTAAAAAGAAAAACAATCTGGTGTAATTAATGCTTGAAAACAGAGCTTGTCCCTCTACATCAAACAAGCAGCCTTGTTACCTCATAACAAAAGACTATGATCCTTGTCTTTCTACCAGATTAAGGCATGGTTTCCTTCCAATTGAATTCATGGTTTTCTTCCAGGTTTTCCCAAGTAATTGGGAAAAGACTTCGTGGTGGCGGTTGTTGTTGTGTTGGTTTTCTTCCAATGGAACACCACGTACAGAGCTTAAAAAGACCATTTGTAACTTTTAAAGCTTCCCTTGTGCACACAGACATAAAGCATTTGGCCACTATATCAGCAGTGGAATTATTTATTTATTTTTGTTGATAAGTAAGAAATGCATTGAAAGCGTTCAAAATACAATAATTCCCAAGCTACGAAACAGGTAATTATAAAATTAAGAAACAGGTAATGCATTAATTCCCAAGCTACGAAATATAATACGTATGCCACTGAAGTTAGATGCAATTACCTCAATACATTTCCTCCAATTTCCAGCCACCAAAAGATTCTTCAACAAAATTGAATAAGTAGAGAAACTGATTTCCGCACCAGTTGCCATTATCTTATAGAACAACTGCATGGGTGGTAAAAGGTGAATTAATATATCAGAACAATTAAAATATCATCTTGAAATTTAGTGATCCTAAGCCATACAATAAAAAATAGCCAATGAACTTATGCTCTGCTCGGTTGCATGGAATTGGAATTGGAATTGGAGAAAATTTAGTTCAAAGTTTAAACTAAATTTTCTTCAATTCCAATTCCAAGGAACCAATTCCATGCAACTGAACATAGCATTAATGAAATTACCACACACGTAATTGTTGTTTATGTATCTTATAGATAGAACAAAAATGAATGAAAGAGGGAAAATAATAGTAATAAAGTAGAAAAATGCATTACTTTACACGTGAAGATATCTTATCTGCTGAATGTTTATTTCCCAGGAAAAAGAAGAAGAAAAGAATTAAGCTATTTCACTGTGCCCCCACCCCAACCCCACTAAATAAATAATAAGTACCTTCATCATAGTATCAATCTTCCCAGATTTTCCAATAGAATGCAGAAGCTGATTCAGAAGTCCAACTGAAATAACATGCAGTGAAGGTTCGATCATTTTGATCAGATTGACTGTTGTCCTCCAGTCTCGTAGTCTTCAACCAACATTCAAGAATTTTAGTTTTGGCAAATGACAATACATAGACCTTATGACAGGAAATATATTAAACAAGAAAACCAAAATATAACAGATCTCATTAAGAAAAATGAGACTTATCTCTATTATCCAAGGATAATAAGATGACGCACATAAATAGAAAAGAAGGGACAAAAATGATTTAGCAGTTGTAACAAACAATTTTTGTATTGCTTCAAAAATCAGCATTTGAAATTGTTGAAGGATTTATATATTTAAGTTACACCCTCTCTAACAGCTTAAGCTTTTGGAGTAGATGGTTGTTAACATAGTATCAGAGCCAAAGGTCTCGAGTTCAAACCTCACCGTCATCCTAATTAAAAAATTGAAAAACACATGTTGGACCAAAAGAAGGCCAATTAAAAATTGAAAAACACGTGTTGGACCAAAAGAAGACCAAATGTGAGGGGGCGTGTTGAAGGATTTATATATTTAAGTTACACCCTCTCTAATAGGGAAAGCTTTTGGAGTAGATGGTTGTTAATAGAAATAACCACAAGAAAATGAGATTTGCTTGTTGAAATATTATAAGAAAACCACACATAAAAAACAATAATAAAAAAAGAATAATGTTAATCTCAATCCCAAAAAATAAAAGGAAATCTTCTGATTATCCTCTACACACAGTACAGCGAAAGTCTGCTTGTTTGGAGAATTGGGTTTATTACTGTGTCTCCTCACTTTTTAATGCTTAAATGTATACATTCACACATACATATATATAAGCAAGCAACAGAGAGAGAGTTAACGAGAGTGTCCTCTGTGTCCAGGAAATCTGCCAAAGATATGTGGACATATCTGGGAATTAACAGATCTTGTACCAGCAACATTTATATTCTTCCATCT